ATAATATTCTATATTCGATATGCAATATTCTTACAAAATTATATTCAGAAAATAATATTTTGACTATACGTGATATTTCTCAATGGGATAGTTTATAAAGCATCAGATAAAACAAAATATAAATAATGTTTATCTTTTATAAAAGATTTTTCTCGTGAGATGTAATCTTAGTTTATCGATTTTTTTACTTTTTTTTTCTCTTAATTAAAAAATATTAATACATACGTATTCTTGTGGTCATAGACAAGTTATTTTATGTTTCACACATTTGTATATGAAACTTTTTATTAATTGGATGTTTTCTTTTTTTGCATAATTTTTCTTTTATTTTCTTTTAATTCTAACTATTTTTTGTTAAACAATCAATTAGAGAACAATTTGAATATGAGCAACAGCAGTATTTTGTAAAAGTTGTGTAAATTCTTCATTCGTTTTAAGATTTTGTATTATTATATCGATATAAATACGATAGATTAGATTATTTCTATATGAAACTAAGAAAATCAAAAGGTTATATTAAATTACAAGAGAGATTTTGACAAAGCTAACAGTCAAAAATATAAAGAAGAAAGTCAGAATACTGAATTATTTCTTTAAATTGAAAATAAGTGATTTAGTCAATGATTGAAATGCCTATAGTAAAAATAATTTCCGGACTAAGTTAATCAGCTTTTCTTCTTTTGAAACACATATCCTTGATCTAAAGTCTTAATTATACCTTTTTCTTTCTTCTTTTCATTTATCATGAGATGTGTATACATTTCTTGAGGATTTCCTGCTGCGTATGTTTAGAAAATTGAATCAAATGAACACAAGAAAAAAAATCATAAAACTATAGAACGAAAGTATTTTACTCACAAGACATTTAATTATGCTAGTTGAATGAAGCTAGTAATAAATACCTGCAGATAAAGTTTTTTTTTTTGAGTTTATACAAACTCAATACAAATAAAATTGTTTGTCATGAATATTTAACGACATATATATCAATAGAATGTTATGGGAATTTATCATTAATTCTAGATCTCACATTCTCATAGGCAAAGTTAGTGCTTTCTGGGGGATAAAGCACAAGAATGGAGAGTCTAGAGCAACGCTCCAGGAAAAAATCAGATATAACTGAAGACAGTGAAGAATATTTGCAGTGTACAAAAATGCTAATGAACTAGTCAGTGTTACAGAGATGTCATAATATCTGTAACGTGAATATCGAGATACAAAACAGGTATTACGATCTTCACTTAATGAATTCACGATATCCACAGATTGCTAGACTAACAATTTTAAGTGATTTTGGTGTAACGAATTGGGTTACTGTTTTGCTGAAGGTCATGACTTTTGACTGATCGTTATCTAACGTATGAATATTATGAGATTTCGATTTTTTGTGACCCTTTTTCCACTTGTTATCATTTACCTTTCAATTTTCCACTAATTTATGTATATTTTCACTAATATAAAATGTATAGTTATGTTTAATTAATAATATCAATCATTCTACAATATTGCCCAGAGCACTGAAAACGAAAAACAAAAAATAGTATACTATAAATAAATGAATGAAATCAACATCGAAATTGGTTTTTTTTTCAAAGCTTCATCTTGCATTATCTAATTGTTTTGTTAAATTTACAAAATCATATAATATTAATTTAATTAATTATTTGGAATATTAAAAAAAAACTAATATTCTTAAAACAAGCTAGTATCTCAAATATGCGTTGTATGTTTAATTTTTTATATAGATTTTAATTTTAATTATGACTACTTTTCTTTTTTTTTTAAACTTCAAACGATATATTTGCTATTTTCTTTATAACCAATACTAGCTGTATGCGGTTTCCATCACGACGAAGACAATCAAGAAACTGTATTTAAATAAAAATTGAAGAAAAAACAAAAACATACGATTTTTCTAATCCTTTGTCAATGTCTTTCTCAAATGAATTCGAACTTGTTCATCATTATTACATTCTGTATTTGATGAAGATTCAAGCAATTTATTAATTACTATTATACCAAAACTAGTTAAACTACAAAAGAAAAAAACCTATCATTCATCAGGTTTTTATAATAGGATTTAAGACTTACTATTTTCTTCATATTGAATGATTGGTGAAATATATTTCTTGTAAAAAAAGAATAAAAATAAACAAGATTCGTTCCTATTTGTTATTTCGTTTACTTTCTAGATTATTGATTGACGGTAAAAAAGGTGTAAAACCATCCAATATATGTAAAAGCTGTCGTTCTTTCTTTCCGTTCGAAAAAAACTATACAATTTTCGATAGATACCGCTAGATATCGGCTTAAGTGTTAGTCAAAATATATGCACGATAGGGTTGTCAATGGGTCAAAATTTTTCCTGTTTGCTTTGCCTCAGGATATCCGCAGATCTGACTAGAAGTAAAAGAATGATTTGTAGATCAAATCAGGCCGACTAATGTTTCTTATTTTCCAAATCCATTAAATTCTATAACTTTATCTTAGCATACTTTTCTAGTTTCACAAAGGAAAGTCTCCACATGTGAACTTCCTTTTTCAATTGACCTCATGTCAGTTTGTCGAGCTCGATGAACTGATCATAATGACATAAAGTGTTCTTCTCCATAGACTGTCTTTGAGAAGTTAGGTAGATCTCAATGTCAGAAGAATTACTTTTAGCTACTATTTTGAAAATTTTAATTTTTATGTTTTCAACATTCAAAGCATTAACATTGAATGTATCTTAATTGAATGTATACTTCCACACAATCAACATAAATGGAATGCTTAAGTACGTCTATACTTTGAATATTTCAATACCATTAATATTGTGAATATAAGAAATTCAAATATTTTTTTTGAAAATTTATCAAGATTCCCTATAAATACTATTTAAAAGATGCAGTAACTAAAATCTTATCAGATATCTCATTTTTAATAGTCTGCATTTTATTTAGTTGTTATCTTGCATGTTTATGTGAAAAAAGTACAATAGATGAAACAGGCAGATGAAACATGGTTAACATGTTTTTAAATGTTTGTCATAATTCGATGAACTTATTGAAATGTATGAAGCCTAGTTTTTTTTCCGGTCGTAGAGTTTCGTATACAGCTTTAAAATATAAAAATTTATGTTATAAAGACATATATCATTTGTGAAGATATTAATACATCCTGAGCATTTGTCGTTTTTAGTCTTTCATTGTTGTCCAGAGCAAAAATTTGAAACAACGAAATTAGGAATTTTGAACGAAACGGATTGTTTATGTCAAATAAGAAGACAGAGGATGTACTATTATATATGCTATTTATTTCACAAACATATATGAGGAGTGTTCTAGACGTTCTGAAGAAATAGTTTGAAAACTCATCATTCTTGTATTCAACAAAAGTAAAGTTTTTTCACAATTTCGATAGATTATTGAATCTATTTGGTACTAATTAACTACAAAGTTTCAAGTCGATAGATTTTGCTATAGATATGAAACTGTAGCAATGCTATCATACTCTATTTTATCAATGTGTCAATTACTTACGTAGAAATTTTTAAATTCAAATAACTTTTCGATATAAAAATAAATACACTTCGATTTATTCATATTTCTGTATTAGAGTAATATTCTCCTTCGATTTCACCTGTATTCATATTTACGAAGATCAACAAATCGTAATATCTAATAACGAACGAGTAAATTATACAAGTCATTCATATAATAACTGAGATAATAAGAATTTTATAGGTTTATAGATCAATTTTTACCTTTTTGGCAAAACTCTATTGCCTGAATGCTGAGACTTTTACATATTTACAGTTCATTAAATCATCTACCTCATTAATAACAAGTTAAATTGCAAATGTTTTTTTTTTATTTCTTTTTAGTAAAGAAAACGTTTCTTTTAAAGAATAGATGAAAAAATTTAATGTGAGAACGACGCACTTGTGGTATATTAGAGATAGGCAGATAATAATATTATCAATAGTAATTAATTCATCTATTCGAAAATTTTCATTTTTAACAACGATCAAATTATATAGACGTTAGAATCAGATTGTTTTACTTATATTCAAAAAAGATTTAGATAATACTTCTATCTGAGCACTATATAATAGATGATTTCAATTCTGAAAACAGACTTTTATCATTATTTGATTTGACTTCTTCATCTTAAATAAGTCATTACTCTTGATTAGTATTATATTTCTTTTCTTGAATTATATACACATACAACAGTTATATACTAAAATATAGCACTTCCTTCTTCTTCAATGTATTTATGCATCCTCTTTTCTTTTTTTTTTTTATTCGTTATGTGATAGAACAACAATAAAGATAGTTACGAATAACACTGTAATATAACGATTTAAATTGATGAAATAAAAAAAAATTTGATGTTAAACGAGTTTTAATAAGCACGATTTGGTCCCGATCGCGGATTACGATCTATATTAAACAAAAAAAAGAAAATATGATGACATAAAAATATTGATGAATAATTATATGACTTACTCCAATTTTGTCCACTGCCGCCACCACCACCACCACCTGTACCTTGATTACGTTGTTGACCTTGTTGTACTTCTATAATAAAAGAAAAAAAAAAGAATCAATAAGAAAGAAAATCAATAAACATACGTTGATTTGGTCTTGAATAAAAGTTTGGTTCACCATTGCGAAAATGAACTAATTTTTCATTTTGCTCATATAATTGAAAGACCTTTTCAACAAGTTGAAGTGAAAGTGCTTGTGTTCTTGATGGATCTGTATGATGCATTACAACTGTTTGATTGGGTTCTTCAAGTGAAGCCTACGGAGGAAACATCATATAAACCTATATTATATTTAAACTAATGAAAAAAAAAAGTTACCATAAGTTCTTCATTGATAATCATTTTACTAATAATACCATAGACTTGTTTAACCGGTAATTCAAACATGTCAGCTAATGTTGCCATTGAAATAGCATCATAAACAGTAGCATAAGTGAATAAATAAGTACGTAATGATTCTTCTTTAATTTTATCTATGAGCATTTTTCGTACTTCTGTTGCTTGTGGCATCAAATTCCAAACCTAAAGAAAGATTAAAAAAAATCATATAACCGTCTTTCGTATTATAGATCAATGTATCAATTAGTGGCAATGCCACAGAGGATGACTCAACTCCCTTGAGAAAACTTTTTAAAGTTGTTGCTAACGGTGGTTCCAGAGTAGAACTGAGACCTTTATGACCAAAAATTAGAGTCCTGTGGGACAAACTTTTTTCGAGCTTGAATCTCGCTTGTCTCGTCCTATTTTATTTTCAAAATGTTTCCACAGTACACTAGACAAACAGGAATTTTCGGAACTCTACCAAAAATTCTAGCGACGTCTCTAGTGTGTCAGTCTTGATCTCTATTCTTTAATGAAAGAAATCCTGTGAGCACCATGAATCGATTAGAAACGAACTTTTATATTGATGAAAAGAAAAAGATCAATATCGATAAGTAATATTCTAATAAATTGCATTTCTAAACTAACAGTTTTGTTATATATAACAATTCTCAATGATTAGAACTCGTCGCTTTCAAAATTTTTCGGAGTTGTATCGATCAAATTTTTCTCTTGAGATTTCATTGAGTAAGTTTCTTTTTTTCTTACCTTTCCATTCATTTTTTCATTAATTAAAAAGTTGACACATGCACTCCAATCGCCTGTTTTCATAGCACGACTTGCAGCAACAACATGCTCACGCATAGATTCTGGTGGTCCAAAAACAGGTTGTTTTTCTGCTTGACGCATTTGTGTATGAAAATGTTTACTAATTGGACGTTTTCGTGCATCATATTCATGAGCTACAAAAAACAAAAACAAAAAACCATCAAAACAATATATTCTTTTTTTTGTTTATATAAATTAAAAAGAATAAACTTACAAGCCATAAATGGAATTTCAATTAACATAGCTGATACAAGATAAACACATTCAATTAGTTCTAAATTAATATGCATATGAAATGGTAATAAACGTTGTCGTTCTTTCATTTCTTGATCACGTGTTCGTTCTTGATTACGTATCATTTGTACACCTTGTGCTAATAATTCTTTAGCACGATTACCTGATTGCATATCAACAAGAGCTTGATGTGCTTCACGTATTGCACCAAAACGAAAAGCACATAAACCTAATTGAACAATAGTTCGATTATATAAAATTTGTGTTGCAACATCCGATGTTGTTATTGTATCTTGCATATGACACATTAACATTAAATCTCGAGCTTCATAATAATGATCATGTAATGCTAAATGATAAACATGACAAAGACTTGCACGTGCACGTGCACGATTGAGTGTATCTTTAGCATAAATATATTTGCAAAGACGATCCATAATAGCAACAGATGATTGACCAGGTGGTTTATCATATTTATAATAAAGATGTTCAATAACACACATATATGCTGTACATAAATGTTGTGGTTGAACAAGTAGAATTGTACCACTATCAGAATCAGTAGTAATCATTACGTTATTATTTGCTTTTGATTCTAAATATACTTTTAAACGATCAATTATTGAACAAACACGTAATTCATCCTTTAAACGTTCAACATAATCTTGACTATGAGCATCAGCATTTTGTAAAATTTTTGTAAATTCTTCATCCATTTTAAGAATTATTGTTATTACATCACCATGAATACGATAATCGGGTTCTTTCTATATGAAACAAAAAAAAAGAATCAAAATATGAATAAGATTGATCATGTGTTTAATCCTTTATTATCTGTCGGATCATTTTTGACTCATTTCTTAACATGAAAAATGTTTTTTTTTTCTAGAATTATTTTGTTTTCCTATATAAACTCATAAATAATTCGGTTTCCATGTTAAAACTTTATTGGAGCTAATATCCAGTTAAAAAAATGCATTTCTCGACAGTTTTTAAATAACTATTTATTGATCAAACACAGAAATCTGCAGCTTCTGTGTCCCGCTGTTCCGTCTAGACAAGACCTTAACAATAGGAATGGATGATTTCGAATTGAAATTAGAATTAATGATTCGATATTATAAAAAGAAACTGAAGACTAACGATTCCAATACGATCCTAGAAATGAAAGACATGATTCAAACGAAAAATAACCATCTTTGCAAGTATTTAATTATAAACACTCCTCAGAAATGACTGATTTTTCAAAAAGTAATTCTTGATAAACATGAATTTTTATGTCGTTGAAGACGAACGGATTATTTATGACAGTGAAATGAGTTCGTTAAATTTAACAATGTGAGTGTTCTAATCAGCAGCACCTACATAAACTATTGCTGTGGTTGATTAAATATCAACTCTACTAGACTAATGCAAAGAGATAATGGGTTAATAAATTTAATAAATGATTTTTTCTATGAGAATTAATAAATAAGATTTTCATGGATTTATAAAATATTTATAGATATTTTCATATATGAAAAAGGTTTTCTAGAAATATAATTTTTAAATATATTTTATTAAGTATAAAATTTTCATTTAGATTAATTCTTCCGTTTTTTCTTTGATTTCAAACTTACTTTAAGATTTTCTGCTTCTTCACTAATATTTTCACTGATTTGAACATTTTCATTTTTAGTCAATAATGTTAATAATTCTTCGATATAATCGAGCGCACTAAAACGAAACGAACAAAATATTTTTATGACATTACAAAAAAAAACCGAATATTTTTATACCGTGTCCATGTTTCTGGTTTTAAACATTCATTACCCTTATGATGATAATCAAAACTAACAGCAATTTGTATTAATAATATTTTAATATCAAGACCAACACCTAAATTTTGTTTTTCAACATATAATCGAAGAATTTTTAAACATTCCAATTGATCACGACGATTTGTACCACGTTTACCACGCATAGCAATGATTTCATTAAGTTTTTTTAAAATAGCCTCATGTGTGATTTCTTCATCTTTACCAAATGAAACAAGTTTTTGAATCTAGAGAATAAATTTTGAAAAAAAAAGCCACAAATGATATGTTCTTTTTTAAATTAAAATAACATATGAATATTTTACATCTTGTCGAGGTGCAGAATCTTTTCCTTCTTCATCTTCATCATCTGATGGTTGAACTTGTTGCTCAATTCGACTTGGTTTTTTTGGGCGTTTAGTACCAGATGATTCTTTGATTCTAGTTTTTTCCGATTTATCAGTTCTAAAATAAAGAGTAAAAATTTTGTTTTGTATATTTAATTAAATAGTTCATTACTTCAAAAATTTTTTGTAAAGTTCTTCATTTGGTGCATCGACATCGATTGAACTATCAGTAGATTCTTCATCACTTTGATCCCATGATACTTCACTTGATTCACTTTCATCATTCTAAAATAATATATTTAAAAAAACAAAAGAATAATGATTTTTTGTATTTTTTTACATCTTGTGGTTTTCCTTTTGTTGGTACAACTTCTTCTTCATCTTCTTCACTTTCAGCACTTTGATCAACTGGTGAAGTTTCATGTTCAGGTAATTCTTCATCAACAACATCAGGTCTCTAAAGAAAGAAAAAACAACCTGTTTGAAAAGAAAAAATAAAATAAATTCAAAATAACGAACTTCACGATAAGCATTTATTTCTTTTTCCAATGGTTCTTGTTTTAAATATCGACGAATTTTTTGACGTAATGCACTTAAATTATTTGAATTATTTTTAGTAAGTGTTTCACGCCACTCACGATCACCCCAACACTAAAAAACAAAAAATAAAAATAAAATCATGAAAAGACATTCAATTAACTTCATACTTGATTAACAAAATCATCGAGTTGTACCAATATTTTGATAAATGATCTTGGTATTCCTACAACAAAAAAATTTACATTAAAATAAATACAATAACCAAAAAAAAAATAATATTCTTTACCTTGATCTTTTTCCAAAACTCGCCTGGCTTTATCAAATGCTTTTGTTAAATTTTCATAACCTATAATAGACATACAAAAAACCAAAAACATCTAATATATTCAACAAAAAAAAAGTATCACTGACATTCATAGACCAAGCCAATATCTCGAATACGCATAGCATGTTTGGTTTTCTTAATAATTTCTTCAATTTCTTCATGTCTAGAAAGTAAATCTTTATTCATATGTTTATACAGTAGTCGCAAAAAGTCTCGGTATCAGATAAATAGTACCTAAACTTTAATCCTTTAGTTCCATAATATCTCAACCTGGAAAGCAAATCTCATGACGTTAGACTCCTCATGCGACTATTCATCGTTGCCTTTATCATCAATAAAAATTTCACGTGAAATGGTTTTAGTTTATCTGATTTATGAAGTATTCTGTGAATAATCTCTACATGAAAGTTTATAGGAATCGTCAAAAAGTGTACTACTCTAATCAATCCTTTCCTCAAAATTTCACAATCGCAACCATTGATGGAGAATAAGTCTATGTGGAGACTGTCTCTGATAATAGAAGCTTCCTCACGCCTCAAGATTACAGTGGATTGAAGCACTTTATCTGTGACACAATATAGACATACAAATCTTTATTTGTTTGTAAGAAAATGGAGATTAACGCATTTAAATAGTGAAAAACTAGTATTTTCATCGTAAATCATTTGTATTAATGCCTATCGACTTCGGGGTATTGCTTATGATCAAAGTTTATCGAACTCTATTTGTAGTCAAATTATCGGGCAGAAGTATTGAAGTTTATGTTCGTTTTATTCAGTAACGAAACTTTCTGCGACTAGTGAATATGTATTAAGAGATGTACCGTTTAGCTTTTTCACTTCGTACAACACGTTTAACATCTTCTTCATCATCACTCATTGCAAGATATGGTTTAGGCGCACTAAAATGAGAAATTTAAGAATTCTTGAATAAAAAATTAATAAAAGAAACTACATACTGTTTTGTTGCAGTTTTGCTGGCACCTTTCTTTGCTGTTGAAACTTGTACTTGTGGTTCATCATCACTGGTTTCTTCACTTGATGAAGAACCTTCATTGAAAAAGAATCGATTACTAGACATGATTGTTTTTTTTTCTAAAATATAATTCAAATTAAGATTTATATTAGAATAGATAATATTGCTTAGAAATTTTGTAATATTAGAAATAGTTTGTACTTGTAGTTTTTTTCTTTTTATGAAAGAATAGAAATAAACAATTTGTTAGCTGTCTGATTTCTGAATGGATAAAATCGAAAATATAAATCCATATTTATAAAAAATAATATTATTCCAATAGAGAGCGTTAGTTACTGATAAGTAATTGATGCAATATTTGTTTTTCGAATTTATTATTGTTGTTTTCTTTTGTATACAGAATCTAAGACTTAGAGATTTCGCAAGCGAAGAAGAACATCTCAATTTTGAAAAATTTTCGTTTTTCTCCATTGGAGTTCTAGTATTTTATTGTTTACTTTGCTCATCAATCCCTAAAGACACATTCGAGTACCCCTCTCCCGAATCCTGGCAACCTCGGGAAACTTCTGAACACGCCATCTCTAATTTTGCTTTGATGAGATATTCACTCAGAAATAATGAAAATTTCAATAAATATGTGAATGTTGTTCGAAAATTTTCCAAAAAAAATAAATGGATCGTAACTTTCCATATTATGTTTATTCACAAGAATATGAACGTTATAATACTAGAAGGTTTTTGATAACGAACAATAAAGAATACATTTGCAATAGAAGGATACATCATAGATTAAATACAATCAATATAAAATAAATATGAACAGAAGATGTTCATTTCAATGTAATTATCCTCGTGGTCCAATTCTTTTGATCAATCTTGGTCGTTTATTGTTATATCTAGTTTTAGAATTTATATTGTGTTTTATGTTTCTGTTTGTATTTTATCACTGTTGATCATTTTGAATGTACACAATGCTGATATGTTTAAAGCAAGATGACACTAACACATCAGCGGTAGTACTGCAATAAGCCATTATGAGAACGATGATCAGTAGAAGAACTAATAGAGCATGATATGTGATTCCCATGATTATATAAACCACTCTATTCTCACAGAATAAATTCAATTATAGTTCTGTTTATATGCTTCATTTCTTTTGTATTGTATGTTTTCTAGTAATGAGCAAATCAATTTCTTTCACAGTCTGGAAAATGCGTATGCATACATACCAATTGTATATAGCTGTCGAAGAACTGTGGAATAGAAATTAGGCATACCATCATATTATTCTGTTTGACTGCTTCCCGTTATAGGTTCATGCACAGCTCAGAAATGAAACAATATTAATTTTTATTAACTTGATAGACATATGGGCAAGTTCTTAGCTAAAAAATGAAATATCTTATAAAGGTGAACTGTGATCGGTTCAGATTACGTGAACGTTTATCGGATTCGATAATAAAAATTCGTGTGAGATGGTGCAATATTGATTTTTTGTAACACTTACAAGATCTGAACCATCTATTTCTTAGAAACAAGAGATTCTTATTTAGTAATCAGAGGCTCATTTTGTATTTCTGTTAAAATAATTAAAATATATCTCGTTTCGTTTTTGAATTATATACAAGCTTCTATGATAAAGTCGCTCATCAAAATCATATCGGTACGTGTCTAATAAGAGTTTTTTTCTAACGTCTTCAAAATTTGGGAATTTCTTAACTAAAATATTGTATTAACTGTAACTGTTCGTCTTCAGAGCAGAACTCGTCGAGTAGCAGAGACAGATGAACATGTGAATGTGAAAAATAATGTAAATAACTAATTATTCTGTCTACTTAATAGTATGGAACAAGAACAGAACTGATAGTCCTTCTCTGATTCGACAGCAGCTATTATAGGTGTTCTAAAATTGATCACACAATTTGAAAATTTCGATTTATCAATTGTTGAATACTTCTATATTTGTAAGTTAATGAAAGCATAGCTACAACATTAAAAAAAAATTGGTTACAATAGAAACTCACTGAGCTTGTGTCCTTGCGGAAAGGAGGTTATTTACTTTGAATAAATGAATAAAACATAAAATAGAAAAGTCAAAATAAATAACAAAAATAATGATGACAGATAAGAATAAATAAAATAAGTTAAAGTGTAATCGATCATGAGAAATTTAATTTCATGTTTCATCTTGTGTTTGTTGTTTTTTTTTTAATGCTCTGAAAAGACTTGTAGAGAAAGAGAAAGATGTAAAACGAAACAGCAATCAAAACATAATATTTGATCGAGCAATCATTATTTCATATTATCGAGTCAGTATAGCTTCATGATCTTTATATTACAAAAATATTTCAAACCTTGACAAAATCATATAAAGAACGAGGTAATGCATAATCAAAACTGCAAAAAAATACGTACAGTTTATTTTAATAATTTATTAATGTTTCCTTAAGAAGATAAAAAAAGACTAGTTCTAGAATGATATAGACAAAACAAAATATATAAACATGATTAGTAGTTTATTTGAATTATTTATCAGTAGAATAAACTTTATGTGACACATATCTGATTTAATTATTGTCAAAAATAAAACCTACAATCCATCGTTTTGTCTGGTTCGGTTTAAAATATCACTATCTACAATCTACTATATTATATTTATCATAGTCAATGTAGTAAACTATGATTGTAAATATCACATACATCGTGGTGAGTTCAAATGAAAACTACATACGAAAATTTGTTCACTTTAGTCAATATAAAAACAAGGATTACAATTAGATTTTAATGAGAGCTGAGATCAGCTTTAGTCGAAATAGAAAAAAGAATATTTCAAGCAGAATTGTAATCGATAATGGTAAACGGCTGGTTCAGTAGAGAATTTCTTATCGGACAGATTAGATTTTTTCAAGCTTTTGCATGTTGGTTTTTCGCAAACCAAACCATTTTTACTGATGTCAATGATTATTTCTATAAGTGAATATGTATTAGAATATTTTTATTAAGCAGATATTCATCAAAATACACTTAATTTATTTTATCAATTCACTTCAATATCAAATCATATTATCGAAACAAAATGGAATCCTTGTAATTTATCATATATTTATTTTTATTTCGTATTATCTGTAGCTTATCTTTCGCAGAGACATTAGAGATAACAATGTAAATCTACGGTAAGAAACAGAGTACATATACAATTGATTCATAATTTCTATGTCTGACGAACATTTAATTCATGTACAAAACTAGTATAGAATTTGTAGTCGTATAAAATTTTCTATCGATTGATAGATGCTAAAGGAGAAAGATCTTATGAAAATAGATGGTGAAGAAAAAACTTTCATTGCAATCTCTACGAGTTTAAAATGCTAAGCACGATGGAGCTACTTTACACATTATTGAAAATTTCATCATCTATGTGACATACATATTGACATCTCTGTTACGGTCTGTCATTAGATTAAAAAAGCATCTGCATATTTGTCATGGTCTTTGGAATAAGCTGAGAAAGATTGGTTCAAATTTCTCGTTATATATTTCAACACTCATAAACAATCATATTTCACAGAAGCACTATCATAGTGAAACAGGAGCCTTACGTTATTTCTGTAGTGATTCAGAGGTAGGTATGACTAATTGAAAGGTTGATTTGATTTTTGTAAGATGAGAAAAAAAAAGAATGACTAATGTTGGTCTACCGGCCGGTTCAGTCTGATGGGTACTGATAAAGAAGAAATTCCTACCGGTTGCAATTCTAATTTCAAGTATTGAAAACAAGAAGAGCTATTTATTTAATTTTATATAATTGGTATCCCAAGCAATTTCAATCGATAGCTTAGAAAAAAATGATGTATTATATATACCTAAAAGAATTCTATCAACTTCTCAGATAAAAGATAATCGTAATTAAGATTGATAAAGAAGCGTGTATTGCTTAACTTTTCTTTTGAGATAAATTCAATTTACCAAAACAAATATTCACTATCTTTATCAAGAAAGTTTACTATTATTTGAACTATCAAAAGACACATCAAATTCTATTCATAATTTATTTTCTGATATACTTTTTAAGACTTCGCTCCCATTAAACATCGATCTCAGCCTAGAAACGTTTAAATGACATGAAATTTTCAGGATATGTTGGGCCTGTAGTGGAAAAGCTGTGATAAAATTTTCAGCCCGATTTCATGACTTTTGAGGAAGATATTGACCAAACAATGGTCAAAAATAGCTGATTTGGCAATCCAGATTTCTCTGTCCGGGCTCATTCGATATCTTTAATTTTTTTTTGTTTGCAAGAGCACGACAGGATACAGGGCATCATAGAGTTCTTTTTTCTAAATTCTTACTTTTTAAGCGGAAAGAATGAATTACAAATTCAATGACTGAAAAAACCCTAAAAAATGGCATTGTTTCTATAGAAGTGTTTTCCTATACGATAATAAAAAGGCTTATTTTAGAAAAAGGACTTTGTGGTACTCTGCATTCGGACGTGCTCTTTCTAACAAAAAAATAAAATAAAATACATAACATGAACTTGGACGGCGAAATTTGGGTTGCGAGTTCGACAAATCACAAACTGAGAAAAAACGAAAAAAGATTTTCGGTTTTTTCCGAAAACAGCTTGTTTTTCGAATATGGGATGACGGAAATCTTCGAAAATTTTTGAAAAAAAACAAGATGTCGAGTAAAAATTTTTATTGTTTATGCGAGATCAGATCAGGAACTATCTGCCTCTGTATTCAGGTTAATTTCGATGATTCTGACGAAAAGTGACTTTTGTTGAGGAGGACCTTAAAATTAAGAGCTACACAATTTACTTTAAACATTAAATTATGTTCTCAAGTATCGAAATATTTTATAGATTGTATTTTACTATTAATGTTATAAGTTAATACTTTACAAAATTCATTCGATGCAGGCCGATTCTTCATATTCAATTATAAGAGAAAAAAAACATTTTATTAAACAGAAAAAAAGAAAAAAAATAGAAAAAATGATATAATGTCTTTGAATGTTTTCATTGGCCGTGAGTCATGTGAGAAAACAAGCCATTTTCGAGTAGGAAGTAAACGAAACATGTTGTATAAAAACTTGTCGTTTCGTCGAATATTGTGTTATATATATCGATATTTTATTACAGGTATGTTAATTTATATTTTTTTTATGCTAGAAGAAAAGTGATGATTCATTTTTCGAAAAGTAAAAGAATAAAATGCTTGAAAATTGTAGTTTTGATGAATACTTCTATGGGTAGTCAACGACGAAAAATATGAGGTTCTCAGAAGATTTTTTTCGTCTGTAGAGCATGTTGTGCTGATCATTTTGGTTAAAAAAAATTTTCAAATTTATTCTATAAATCATGGAGCTAAAAATCAAAATACTCAAAAACTTCGGCTATTCCTGGCTGCTGCTAAATGGTAGTTGACGTTTTCGAGTATTTTATAACTCTAGCATCATGATTTATTGAGTAATTTGAATATTTTTTGTGCCGAAAGCGATCAGTCTAACGATCTCAACAAAGTCCTACAGACAAAAAAGATCTTCTGAGAACCTTGTGTTTTTTCGCCGTTGACTACCCATGGAAATATCCATCAAAAAACAATTCGGAAGCATTTTATCATTGATAGAGAGATAAAAACTATAACTACAACTTACTTTCTTCTATGATACAGGATAATGATGATGTTGAAATAGGCTTATATACATCATCTTCGAAAATATTGAACCAAAAAGCCAATTTGAATTTTCCCAGTTGTTCAGTTTCAATCAGTGTTCTCGTTATTGAACCACTTTGATACAAGTTAAAGATATATATTCGTACACTAAGTTAATCACACAGTATATTAATGGTTAAGTTAAACAATAGTTATAACTTACTCTTTTTCTCTAGCTTCATGTTCTTCTGAACTAATTTCTGAATAAATGTATCTATTTTCTGAATCAAAATAGTCTGTTGGAGTACATTGATCAAATTGTAGACGATTGAGATTGTTGTCATTGCAAAATGAATCCATATTGACAGTGGTACCTTCAGGAACAGGTACTTTCAAACAATGTCCACGATTATCATAAGTTTGAACCTTAATACCAAGATACATTGGATAATTGCGTTTTAGAGGAACCTGAAAATAGTACGAATGTTTTTTTAAAATTTCTATTGTAGTCTTCTTTAAATATAAGCAATATCTTACTTTTACACGTATCAATGAACGTTGAGGACCATCACCAGCTAGAAGAGGAATTCGATTTTTTGCTAGATCTCTCATATTTCGATAGTGCCAGTCTTTCTTTGGCTTGTTGAGAATATTTGGTGCTTCACATTGAATTGATGCTGAAGTAGTTGGAAAAATTTCACTGGTGTTTGATGACTGATTTAGAACGTATGATGAGATGTTAGCAGGATTTTGGTCAATTTGTGTGACATGACTCGTATCACTGAATAGAGCTAAAGAAATACAATAAGTTGTCACGAAAGCATTTAATTTTTCAAAAATTCACTTGTATTATCTTGTTGATTATTGTTTGCAACTACTATGTTGGAAACGATAGCAGCATCATGGTTTCCTAAAATATGACAGATGAATAACGATTAAAAAATAATGTGTAAATTGTCTATTTACGTGGAATTCGCTCAACTGCACTTTGAATAATCTGTAAGATAAGCATTTGTCTCTCCTGTATGAGTTCAGCTGAAGCTTGAGGAGATATCGAATTGAGATTCGTAATATTGAAATCTATAGGGAAAATGAAAATTGATGTTTTTTATTTACAACTTTGATCATATACCTGGCGCTTGGTTTTGTATTAAAATTTCATTGAGCCATGGTCTAAGATTATTTTTTAACTGATTAATTTCCTGTAACATTTGTTCAATGAAAGTAGAAGCTTCGAATAAAATTACAGGTTGGAGATCGACTAAACAATATGAAGTAATAAATTATTAATGATTCTATTTATTATGATACATACATGAAGTTGAATGATTTTCTGATGAAAAAGTATCATCAACTGCCATATCTAAAACATTTTAAAATTGTAAATTATTTATCAAGTAAAACTCTTACGGCTAGGATCTTCTATAGATAATTCCAAACGATTTTCTGTTTGATTTTGATTTTCATCGACTACTAAAACGAAAAATAAATCTAAATCATATTGAAATTGTGTTTAAAATGATAGAGAACGCACTTTTTTTATTCATTTGGTTAACCATTGTTTCAATAGCATGCCAGACGGATATATCATCTCTCTTAAAGACAGTGAGTGTTTCTCCATTGATGTATTTTTTATAATACAACGGACAGCAATAGATGTTGTTAGTATTGCAAAAAATAAAAGCATATCTTTCTTTATCGCATCGTTTTTCGTTAAGTTTGCCGAAATGATTTTTATCAATAATAGTATGTTTATTATTAATAGACACAATTAGATAAAGATCGATATCATAAAGATCTGCATAAGCGTTAATTAAACTATGAAAAAAATTTCCAGGATTATCCTTAAGTTTAGTAATATCATCGAAGGTACGTGTAAGCAAATCAGTTGGATGTTGCCAAGAGCTTGGAATATTTTCAGTTTGATAAGTACTATTTGACACAATAAATAGGGCACCATCAAGTAAATTTGGTGTCCAGTATCTACTGATAGGATTTTCTGTAGAACTAAAAAAAAAAATAATAAGTCAGTTGCATAGTATAATATAACAAAAGAGAGTAATACTTTGTTGTGTTACCATAAGAAACATCATAGTTTGTAGGTAAGCACAGAGTTGAATCTAGTTGATTGTTAGTATTCATTAAGCTGTCAGGATTCGATGAAAATTCACTTTCCATATTCGTATAATTAGTGTCGCAAATGTTATACTCTAAAACAAAATAATACAATCGTCACTTGATTTTGCTCGTTTTATTATATTGAGGGATATTAACATAAGCAGAGGAAGGCAAAAAAGAAATATCGACTCGGAACATAATGACTCATCCTTTCCGACTGCATACTGCAATGCTCTCGTGAGTAAATAACGTGACAATCACACAAGGGCACTGTTGATAAGAAAAATTTTTACTCTACACTATAACTATCATGTGAATGTAAGGCAAAAAAGAAAAGAAAACATACTTCATATATATATATAACTGTACTAATAACTAAAGAAAATAAAAATATATAATAAAAGACAGTATTCGAAGATCATATAAATTCATATGTGAAGAAAAAAGTTTACATAAGGAATATAGAGATCATTTTCTGTCATGTTTTTGCTTTGAAACAAAATAAAAATGAATGTTAATTGATATGAAATTGCAAATAATTCGAAGAAAATCTAAAACATAAATAAATAAATTAATATTTTCAAAAGTTAGATTAATTCTTGAATAGTACTCTAACAAGTATCATTATTACCGGTTTTTTTATTCATAATTATTTCAAAGAACAATAAGCAATGACAGCATAAAATTTGAAAAATTAAAATAAAAAAAGTCAATTAAATATTTTTCTTTTATACATGATCATGATAAACTATTCTATTAATACCATTCATTATGTTTTGTTATCTGATGAAGCAAGATTAGGATATGAACAAATTTGTGCATGTTTACCTGGTGAAGAAAAAAAAAGAATATTTGCAATAATATTTATAAACTTATCCTTACCATGATCAACGTATGGTAAATAATCATCATATAAACAATGCTTCTTTCGTAATGAACTGTCTTCAACAAATTCTGTTTTTATAATAACTAGATGAAGCTCATTATTTCCCTCAGTTCTAGCTGGTGAAGTTAATGATAATTTTTTTCGTTCTATTGTGAAGTCCTTATTTTTGAGTTCAATTTCATTACATTTAATACGAAAATCTAAAAGAATTTTCAATTACAACCAATCGATATTATTCATATTTGTAATTATACCTTTTTTACGACTTATAATACTTAATTGTACAATTATTCTCTCACCACCCAATGCACATAATTCTTTTGGCACGATCTTAGTTGAATCAATGGTTAAATCTCCATCCTCTAGAAAAAAAAGCGTGTTACAATGAGAAATAAAAATTCATTGACAGATTCACATTACCTTGTTCAATGACCGATGTATGGGAAGGATGTGATACAAACTGATATTGACTAGAACTGATTTGTACACATAGTTGAAATTCAAGTCTGCATAATCTAAGATTTTCACGTTCAATAATTTCTGTCATTGACGGTCCATATTGTTTCCAATTGAAAAGATAAACTTTTATTCTAGAAATATCAATAAGTGTTAGAAATTTATAAAATATGTACTTACGTTTTTCGACGTTTTTTTCGCTCGTCATTAGTTATTTTTAAAAAGACAGATTCAGTTACTGGATCAAAACTATCTGGACTACATTGTAAACAACTTCGTTCATTATTATCTTTCATTAATGTCCAATCAACACGCACATTTTCAGGTGCAACAGTTTGGTAAGGATGTCGAAAGTGATTTTCTGTAACAACTCGAACACGAACATAAAGTTGTACACCATCACCATCACTAGGTACCTTCAATTAATAGTTATGATATTTTTAGTATGAGTACAAACATATAATTAATTACTTCTATCTCAGGATACTTTCTTTGTTCTTTGTTTTCACCTGCTTGTACTAATGGACAATCCTTTTTTGCTAAATCCTTTAGCATACGAACACGTCGATGACGTTTTGGGTGCTTTATTACATTTGGTTTATCATAATTTTGAATTGAACTATGGCTTGTTCGAACATCTGGTCTGACTATTGTTGCCGGTTTTGTTGTACTTTGAAATAAACATATGGGAATGTGGGAAACAATATTTTTCGAAGAGCAAATATGATTTTTTGCGTGTCCAGTTTTACTTTGCGCCGTATTTGTCATAACATTTTTAGAAATCCATTCTCCTTCTTTCAAAGTTTCATCAGTCGTCTGTTGTCGGTCATCTGTTTCCATCGATGTAGTATCATCAATTTCTTCTATTTAATACGATAAAAATACAATATTTAGTAATACTCATTGAATTATACAATAACTTACGATGAAGACATTTGTTTTGATAGAGATATTTTGTCATATGTTCGAGTTTTTCATATACTTTCTCAATTGAATCTGTGGTCGACGACAAATTGAGATCATTCTCTATTGAATCTGTGATAATAAAAATAGAATAGTTGCTTTTATTGGATAATGAGTCTTATTCACAATTCGCTTGTTGATTACGAACAGGCAAAAAAAAAGTGGTTATATCAGTTTGTTTATTGCGTAGGACAGTTTCTTTTCTTAAAGTCTTGTTCATACTGTGAGCAAGACAATAAGAGAAGAGATCGTCCTTCGCAACAAACGAACTGGTTTGACCACCTTTTTTTTTTGCATATTCGTAGTCAATAAGCAGCGAGTTGTGAACAAGGTTTCTTAGTATCTCATGCGATACATTTGTTCTTTGAAAATGTATTCAGTTTCAAATCGGTAGCTGAACGGTGGTAATTTTGAAATATTGAGTATTAGTTATATGGTAAAGAGTATTAGGTTTTTTGTACAACAAATAAACTATTAAAATTTTCTTTTTATCTATCAAACACTTCAAATTGATTTTTTTTTTGAAAATAAAAAAACTCACCTATTGAATCTGTCATGATTTCTTTCGAATAAAAATGTGAATCCGATTGAGGAATAGTTTGAGCAGTATGTTGAATGTCACTGCTGGAGTTTTTGTGTTTTATCAGAACAGCTTCATTTTGAACAGCTAAAACATTTTTACAATGCTTTGAATTTATGTTGTTCAAATTAGAGTATTCACTTGATCTTGAAGAAAATCGAGCATCTAAATTATCTGTATGTTGTCGTTCCTCATCATATCTTGTAGTATTATCGTTGTCGACGGTACGATCTGTCTGTGAAGCCGGATCCTGAGATACTTTAAAGATATAAAGAATAAATTCTTTAGTTCATCTTTTGCAATCTTACTCTCCAGGTTTCGTTGGACAATCAATTCTTTTATATAACTTATGATAGTTTTATCATTGGTAGTAAAGCATGTTTGTGGTTGACAATCAGCATGAGTCGCATACCATGGTGCAAATAAGGACTTTTTAAAATCATACATGATAAATGCAATATTACGATGACGTTTCTGTTGTTCGATTTTGTGTGAAGTTACGCCATACACATAAACATCATTATCATCAATTGGAACGTCATCAGTAAATCTTATAATATTAAGTTCAAGTTTGTATAAGTTAGCATAGCCATTCAAAATATAATCTAATTGTTCTGGTGTTGCAGTGGGTGATATACAATCTAGAGTGTGTCGCATCCAAATAAGCGAACGTTTTATAGTACATCCATATCTTCCAATGAATCTCATACATTTAGGCAAATCTGTCCATGAATGCATTTGGACAGGATCATGCCATGACCTAGAGAACATTATAAATTAGGACACTTTCAAAAATGATCGAAAGAAAGATTCAATACTTTAAATTTTGACCTCGTAGTAAAACAGATGGAGAAATTTGTCTTGAGCACATCGATGATGACACTAATTCGTCTTCACTTAACGACTACCTTGTTTTGGTACGAGTTAAAGAAACTTCTTTTTCAAGTGTATTTGCTTACTCCTAAACTTCAGTTACTTATAATAAAAACAAAAAAAAAAAAATATATATATATATATACCACAAAAATGATGAGTAATCTGCTAACAACCAAACGAGGCGGTAAGAGAACAAACGTAGAGAAAAGAAAAAGAACATAGAGAAAATACGTCAACGCAAACAATCAGTTGGTGTATTCCTACTACAGGTAATTCAAAGAGTACTTGGACACTTGACTATATTTTTTCCTACTGGTCGATGTGCACAACGATGATAAGGAATAAATTTTCTTTCTTCACGAAAGACCAAAACTTTGATTTTCATATGGAATTGAATAAGAATTGAGGGCTATCAAATGCTGAAGAGAGAATGTGTTTGTTCTCTGTCTAAGTAGAAATGTTGATATTTTTGCATTCTTATTTCACAACAGAAAAAAATACAAATAAAGAATTAATAAGTGTCTGAATACTATTTTTTGAACTTCATGTATGTCGAAAGAAAAGTGATATTAATGTAACGAAAATTCTTTTGTTTTGTAGTGTCAGTAGTTTCATTATCATACAACGCACTATTCTGATTCATAATCATATATATGATATTATAATATTACTTTAAAGATCTTCTAATTTAATTTCGATAAGATTTGATGAATGACGAAATGTTTGAAGTCACAGAAATAATCTGACGAACAAGACCAAAAAAAGATCACAGTGCATGCACGCTAGACTATTACACGTGACTACAACCCGACAAATAAGTGTATTTTTAACTTTGAAAGAAAAAAGGAAGAAGAAAAAATAAGTTGTAACAGAAAATAAAAAAAAATATGACTTTTTACCCTCATATTTTATTGACGAAGTAAACTACAGGATTATTCGTAGTTTGCTTGATTAGATTAGTAAAATATACTTCTACATAGAAAGCATACTTCTTTTGCCTAATTGTAATCGATGTCATCATGAGTAATATTTTCATCAAATGAAAATGAGCAATATAAGCATGAAGAAAATACTTTCCCCGCAATGTTGGTTTTTCCCCGTCGTAATGATTCATTCGAAGTAGGAATATTTCAAGTGAAAAGGGCTGTCAATGCTTTTTTTTTTATTCGATCTATTCAATATCTATATTTAGATATCTTCCGATGTTCGTAAATATTTCGTTGTATTGCATCAGTTTTTAACACATAATTTCTCTAATCGAGTTTATCTGAAGTCACATCTTTGACACAAACTGATCATGTAGCGAATCGATTCTTTTTTAATAGATAAAATAGAGAAGTAATAGATCGATATTCATTAATAATAATTGCTATAATAAAATATATTGAGATTTCATTCACAAAATTGAATGCCAAACTCATAAGCAGTTTGAATTCTTATAAGTCATTTCAGTTTTATTTCGATTGTTATATGTACTTGCAACCACAGTATGAATTGTCGTATCGATTTTATCTCGCAAAATATACAAAACTCAAAGCGACAAGTCAGAGATTTTTGGTTTTAAACTGATATTAAATATTACTTTCATTTTGCAGAAGACAATAGCGATGGCGGAAAAAATATGAAAAATGTGGACGAAACTATAAACAAAAATGCATAGTGTCTATGGATTCTAGTTGTTCGTATCAGTATTTTATCTAGCGTGAGAGTCAAGAGGACGGCGCCTCTGCGAAAATCGGATCGGTCCGCCCATAATTTTAAATTGTCCTTCCGGAAGAAAAAATCTAGATAAGATACTACCTCTTATGGTGTAATGCATGACGTAGTCTCATTCAGACAATCCATGACGGATACTAATATAAATATATGATTGTCTCTTTTTCCGAAATGATGTCTGTCAATTATGTTTCTATCTGAGTGATTTCAGGGATTTATACATAAGCGTCCAATTAATAATGCAATAGTTACTTCCGACAGCCATAACTATACCATTATACATCAGGATATTATTAATCATTCTACAATCACAGATTAAAATAATTCATTGATGATATCTCTTAATTGTGCAACACATTATTAACTTTTATTTAGAATTCATTTTGATGAAAAAAAGAAATGATGAAATACTTGCTCACTATGTCTCTTTCTCAAATGAATTCATAGTTGAGATTGTTTTTTTTATTTGACTAGTCTGAATTTAAATTCGAAATCATCTATAACTATCTGTAAGAATGCATCTGAACTGCCAAGACAAGTTTTTTTTTGATTGTTATTATTAATATCAGTTAATTAGTATAAAACTTATAAAGTTCAATTTTAGATTTTTTTGATAATGTAAAAATTAGCATGTGCAGATGTTATATACGTATAATTCAAATTTTATATCTTTTAGTTTCATAATTATGGTTATGTGTTCTAAATTTTTGTACTTCTTATTGCTATCATCATGAACATCTCAAAATACTGAAATTTTGTGTTAGATACACTGATAACAAATTTAAAACAAATCAATTAATTAGATTGATATCTTAATAACTACTGTAGAATTCTATATTGAACTCTGTAATTTTAGTGTTCTGTCTTCAGATTTTTTTTGATCAAAAATTTAACTGAAAAGAATCTCTACGTTTTTGTATTATTTCTATTGCATATGATAACTCGAGAAAGTTTTTTTTTAATGTTTTAAGCGTAATTATTTGAATGCAAATATATTTTTTCTAACTAGGAAGAAAAGAAAATAAAGACAAGCATCACATTGTATGAAGACATGAAACAATCCACGTGAAAAAGAAAAAAACCATCAAAAACATTACACATGCAAGGAAGAAAGACGTGATATATAAATACGACACACAAAGTTAAGAGCAAACTGCATTTCATATAGTTGTTATTGCGCCATTGAAATATTCCAGGTAAAATTTGTTTCATTCTTCATTTTTTTCCCGATGTAATAGAACGAGAAGAGTTGGATTTCTTTTTTTCTAAAAAAATAAACATTAACAAGAAGAAAATCATATACAAATTTTACTTTCTGTAATTATACACGATAATGATTCAGGAGAAATAGGTTTATACGTTTCATTTTCTTTAATACATAACCAAAATGCCAATTTACATTTGTCAAGTTGTTCACGTTCAATCATATCCTTAGTTAATCGTTGGTTTTGGTATAAATTAAACATGTATATTGGTACTCTTTTAAATATATATATACAATCAATAAATGAAAATTTATATGATAATAATAAAGATTTACTTTTTCAATTGTTGTCGATGTTCTTTCAAGGTAATTTTCATATAAACATTCCTTGTATTTAAATCGAAGTAATGTTTTTGATCACATTCATCGAATTCCAAATAGTTAAGGTAGTTTTCATGGTTACATAAATCTTTGTTTACTTTTGTCTTTTCTTGCACGATAACTTTTGAAGAATGATAATGATTATTAATAGTTCGAACTGCAATAGCAAGATAAATCGGTTGTATGTATCTCGAAGGAACCTATGTGATATGTTAAAGATGTCAATTGTTAAGTTTTTTAATACTATCAATAGGTTACTTTCATTTGAATGTGAGAACGTTGACCACCAACACCTTGTAGAAGTCCAATAAATTTTCTTTGTTCTTTTTTGTTTATATGTTTATTTGTTTTTCGTTGATATTTTGGGTTTACTTTGGGGTTTTTGTTGACTTTGTTCTTTGGCTTTGGTATTAAATCTTTTGGATATCGAGGATGCCAATCTTGTTTTGGTTCGGTGACAATTTCTGGTTTTTTACATGAATATTGTGTTGATGTTTGTGGAAGAACAATTTGAGGAACTCCCGTTGTCGTTGATAAATGAGTTAATACAGATGATGAAGTATCAACAGAAATTTGATCCGCTTGTGTAACACGATTCGATTCATTTAGTTGGACTAAACAGATACAGGAAATTACTGTATAAATATTTCTTTTTTTTCCTAAAGGATCACCTGTATTGCTTTGGTAATTATTGTCTGTATTAGAAGAAATAAAAGTTTCATTGTATTCTAAAAAATATAATACATAATAAATTCTGAAATGAAAAACAATGAAATGAAATGATCATATACGTAGCATATGGTGTTCTGGCTCTCGTATGACATGCGATAAAATCTGTGTTTGTTCCTGATAAGTTGTAGTTACTTTTTCAAATGTATGGTTGGAATTATTAGGATTGATTCCTGAAAGATAAACGGGAATAAATCAATTGTTTTTATTTGTTAGAATTTACCAGAATCTTGGATTAATGATGAAATTACATTGCCTGTATAATGTTTGTTTGTTTGAGGAATTTTTTGTTTAATTTGATTATCCCAAGTATGAGTTTCAATTTTATTATTAGGTGAAACAAAAATTTCTAAAATAATAAATGACAATTATTGATAATAATATTAACATTTGGATTTACCTGAGTTTAAGTCATTTGTTGATGAAGAAATATCAGCTATCGACATATCTATACAAATGCATGATTTATTAAATCATATTTAAACCATTTCTTACCGGTAGACCAATCTTGAACGACATTCGAAACGGTTTTATCTTCTAATCGAGGAAATAAACTTGAATCTATTGAAAAATAAATATTATTTAATTATTTTGTGTTTTTTTTTACAAACAATAAAATGTACCTATTCGGTTGATTTCGTCAATATATTTGTCAACATAATGATAAATACTCATATCATCAAGATCAAAAACAGTTTGTATTTGCTCATTTCGATTGAGAGCAAATAGTGGACCACAGATTGTATCATCACCATTGAGTACAATAAAAGCAGTTTTCTTCGGTTCATTTTGATCCACGATAATACATTCACTAATCATTTTAAATCTTCCATTTACGAAGCCAATGAAATTCAAATAAATATTAGAGAGTACACGAAAATCTATGATCAAATTAATTAATGTCTGTCTATTTCTGTACTTTTGTACAAGACTATTAAGTTGTTCTTGATCAGAATCAGTTAATTCATTTTGATTTTTGTTTATATTCTTGTTTTTAAATGTAGGATCATTTAATACAATAAATTCAAATGTATCACGAGTATTTTTTGCAACATAAAGTTGAAAAAAAGTATCGTTTCTATAATTAAAAAGAATTTAATAATTCAATGTAAAGAAAAAAAAAATTACCTTGTATTATTGGTAGATGATGTTTCATAATTGTTGTCGATATTTGTCAATAAATTTAACTCATTATCGGTATCCATAGGGTACCATTCATTTAATAAACGAACAGTGTTTCACGTGATTTTATTGAAAAGATATCTTTTATAAATGAAACTATTCAAATAAAAACCTATTTATTAACAGTGATGACAAGAAGAATATAAATAAATGCAGTGGAAGAGAGAAAAGAGAGAATAAAAAAAGTCGCAACCCGGTGAAGTATGAATCATTCTCCCCGACTCGATATATACAAAAAAAATAATTTGTTGCTTACAGTGATGTAGAGTAAGCTTTGCCAATCTTATTGAAAAACTACATAGTTCGACATTTCTTCGTATAAAGTAGATATTTCAAACTGCATAATATATAATATTATTATTTTATCTATGAGTAATAAAAAAGGAGTAGACATGAAAATTCATCTTATTGATAAGTAAATATTAACTTAAGCGAATTGTTTTAATAGTAATCAAGAAATTTCTCAAAAAAAATATATTTTTATATTTAAGGTCAAGGCTCTTTCTTATCAGCCACTTAAGCACAAAAATAAAAATGCAAGTTTAAAAAAACACCAACAACTAAACCATGTGGAGTAAATAAAAGTTTTCAAAAAAGAAATTTAATCATCAATATACAATATATTTTAGAGAAACTCAAAAGAGTTAGATAAATTACAGCTAAAATAATTAGTACCATATTTTTCTACAATTATATTGACACTACAATATTAACAGAAATATCATAACAAAAACAAAATTTGTTCATGAAGTTGGAATTTTATGTCCAACAAAGTTTTGTCGACAGCAGACGTGCGGTCCTTGTTCTAAACAAAAAAAAATTATTTAAAAAGCTCGTTCGAAGAAATCCTTATTTTTGTTACCATCATGAGATACATATTCAAAAATATGATCATAGAGTTTTTTTTCCATTGTTACTTCTTTTTCTTCGTCATATTCCTTTCGTAAGATGATCAGACGAAGACGCTGATCAGTTTGTGCTTTTCGTGGTGGGATAATAAATAAATGTTTTTTTTCTATTTTGAATTTTTTTCCATCTAGTTTCTCACCGTTACATGAAATAGAAAAATCTACCACAAAAAAAATGCATTATACAATTTGTTTGCATGACTAATTTACAATTCTACCTCTCTTAGGACAATCAACACTTAATGGCAATTCAATTATCTGACCACCCATTGCACATAGGTTTTGTGGTTGAACGACATCTGAATTAATACTAACAGGACCATGACCTGAAATTAATTTATAGTAAATTTATGAGTATATTTCAGATCAAAATAAATATTACCATCTTCAATAATTGATGAATAAGAAACTGTCGAGACAAGCTTATAATCACCGGGACCATGTCGAACACATAAACCAAATTCAAGTTTACATAGACTAAGATTCTGATTTTTGAACAATTTCTGTTCTTGAGATCCTTGTCGTTTCCAAGTAATCAGATGAACTAATATTCTAAAAACAGGAAGAGTTAATTTTCAAGAATATATACCCCTGGAAAACAATAGTTTTAATAGATTTTTTTTCGCAGATACTCCCACCACAAAAAACATAATTATATATTCGGAAAGCCTTCGAAATTTTTTTTTTGATCATCCTGTATATTTATGTTTTAACTTACGTCTCTTGAATGGAAAATAAATCACCTGCAATGAAGACATCTTCATTCGTCAGATCTCTGTGAACTCAATTTTATCACTGTCTTCGCAATTAATTTTTTAAATTTATCATCATTACAGAAATAGTTTTATGTTCTGATGAATAATGTGAATATTACATCGATAGACTCATTAACAAACTTTAAAAATCTGATTGATTCAATTATATGTTTGCTTTTTCTTTTTCAAAAGTTTAGGATAACAGAAAATCGCAAACTTTACCAGTATATGTAGTTACATTTTTAAAACTCTATTCCATAAGAATAACTAAACTTGAAATAAAAAGGAAAGTGATAATCGAAAAAGCAGTTTTGAAAGACTTCTCAATGAATGTGCCTACCTAATTCTTATATTACTCATCAGGACTTAATGCAAGACAAGAGAAGAATATTTAGGTTTATGGAAAATTTCAAGCTCTATCAGAATATCTAATCACTTTTTTCGAGAACTGCCACAGTGATGATAAATTTAAAAAATGAACTGAGGTAACAGTGACGAATTTCAATTCGTGGGAATCTGATGATGAAGGTGTCTTCATTACAGTTGATTTATTTTCCATTCAGTAGATATAAGTTACAACATAGATATACACGGTGATAGAAAATTCCAAACGCTTTCAGATTATGTAATTTTGTTTTTATGATGAGAATATCTTTAAAAAAATCGATTAAAACAATCTTTTTTTCAAAGATATATATGCAAATGTAAACGTACTCTTTTTTGCCATCTTTGTGTTCATCGGGACTAATTGGAAGATATGTATATTCAAATTCTTGATCGAAATCATCCTTATCAAATTTTAAACAGCCTCGTTCACCAGCACAGCCAATCGATGATGTATCAATAGGTGGATTTTTTCGAACGACCGTTTTAAAGTGATGCTTATCATTGTTCACTGTAACAGCTCTAACACGAGCATAAAGTTCAGGTTTACCATCCTTTGGTACCTTCAGTAGAAAGGAGCTCGTTGTTTTTTTCACATGATTATACAATTATTTACCTGAATTTCAACATAAGTTCGTTGTCCAGCATCTTCATCACCTGCTTGTATTAGAGGACAAACACCTGCTTCTAGATCACTGAACATACGAACATGTTGATAACGATTTGGTTCTATTAAAACTTTTGGAGCAGCATATTGTGATAATATGTTGTTAACACTTGGAGTATTCACTATTGTTGCTAAGCATTTCAAATTATTTGATGAAGATTGAGAGGTACGAATTCTTTTTCGGCGTTGAGTGTTATTCTTATTCTTCGATACTACTTTCATATCATATCATGTATAGATAGTAAAAGTTTTTTTTCACATACCTGTAAAGCATTCCTTGTTGTCGGTTTCCATTGATGAAACTTCTTCCACTGTATAGATACATAAACATAAAATTAAAAAGATTTCGTTTAAAGAAATGTTTACCATGAACAGGATTCATAGCAATTCGAGCAATTTGCAAGATTGAATTAAATTCATTTTCTATTATTTTGATTAAATCGTTTTCAGACAATCGATCAAAATCAGTCGATGTTGGATCTATGACAATGAAAAAAAAAGTAAATCAATTATTCTTTATTGATATTTTTATTTCTAGCTCAAGCACTCTAGATTATATGCAAATTTGAAATAAAAAAATCACAAAAAAAAAAATAATAATCAGATAAAAGTTATTAGACGTACTATTATATTTTCTTGTTAAAAACTTAAAATATGTTTGTAATAGAAATATGTATAAATTTTTCAAAATTGGAAAAAAATTTATTAAATAATTTTTTTTTTGTAATAATCTATTAATATAAGCAAATAACCTTACAGTTTATTTCCATCTTAATTGGAATACTATTGAGTTTATTATTCAATTTCATAATGGATTGTGAAGCAAGTTGAAGATGATTTTCAATTGCTGCACTAGCCGGTATTATAGTATCGTTTTCAGAAGCTAAAAAATATATACATTCATTTAAATCAGAAGACATCAGTGAATTAAAAAGATTTACTTGATTCTGAAGAAATTTGAACATCAAAGTTATTCATACTATGAGAATTTTGAGTATTTGTCATATTGTGATTGTTACCATTAATGTTGCCAATTTCGTATGTTAAACCTGCACATGCTTAACAAAATCAGAAAAATAAAAATACATTTGAGATTCTATAGACGTACTTGTATCATTCCATTCTTTTAAAAAGTTACTAATGTCTCTGATGATGCTTTCATCATTCATTGAAAAACAAGTTTTTAAAGAACCATCAGTAGCAGTGACATAAAGTGGTACAAATAAGTTTTGTCTGCAACAATACATTATGCAAGCAAAATTTTGATACTTTGATTGCTCGCCGTTGACTGAAACACCAACAAATGTACTTATTTGGTTATCATCACCGACCGAATTATCATTAAACGGAATGACTTTGAAGATAATCTGAAATAGGTCAGCATAACCATCTAGCAAACATGGTAATTGTTGCTGTGTCATATTAGCTGATATTATGTCCAACGTGCATCGCATTTCAATAGCATATGAGTTTTCAATACAACCATTTTTAGCTATGAAATCCATGCATTCACTCAAACAATGTAATGGATGAAACCGAATAGGACCGCGCCATGCTCTATGAAACAAAGAAAAAGAAAACTCTTAAGTCTAGTTGAGTAAAAAACAATATTTGTTACTTTGAACCGGTGGATAACTGTACGTTTAATGAATTGGCTGGTTGTAGAATAACAGACGCGTCATTAAATGGATGTCCATTGAAAAAGTCACTTGACTCTGTAGAATCAGAATTTTGATCAAGCATGTATATAGAATTGTCTTGAATATCTATAAGATATACAAATTTTGATGTCTTATTTATAGGTAAAAATAATGAATAATCTTTTTCAACAGACATGAATAAGAGCAATTCACTCAAGGTATTCGAGTATATAAGTCCTAGAAAAAGAAACAAATTGCATCATCCAGTAGGAAAAAGACAACTCAAGTTCTTTTTTATTTAACCATTCTTGTTTTTAGTACGTTAACTATAGAATAGATCTTATGAAAGTATTCAGGAATGATTTCATTAATAAAAACAACGATATATTGATTAATATAGCCGATAGAATCCGGCTTTACCTACCCATCATGCTCTATGTTTGAATGAGAATGACAAATGCAGAGTAAGAGAAATTACTCACATACAAACTTCTAGTTTTCCAACGGTGATATTATTGGTTGATATTTATTTCAGATGAAATCATTCTATTTCTTACATTTGCTACTTATTCTCATATGTCATCAATATTTTTTTCATCATTATCACAATTCTACTTTATTTTCAGTATGCGTCAACATGCGGCATCTATATCATTTTAGTAGATTTGATCATGCTTGTTGTACTGATTCATTGCAAAAATTTGACTCACTTTTGTAAACTTTATGTTTATACATTTAAGATATTGCATGTCATACGTATCAAATCTTAATTACATATGCACATTTAATTTAAAAGGATTTCTTATATTGCTAAAAATTCAAAAAAATAAAATAAATAATGTCAACTTTGCTAAAATTCTGAGTGTTGGTTTGATGAAACAAGTATATATGACAAGAAATTATTTTGTGTTTATGTTTATATGTAATAGTTTCTTTTGAATATTTGTCAAGAATTAGTTAATGTTAAATTAAAATCAGAATATTTTCATTTATTGTTTAAATTTAAAATTATAATAATAAATAGATATTGATTTTTTTCATGTGATTGTACCTGGACATTATAATTGTTTCTTCATTTTTATAAATAATTCTATGACAAAGTAACAAAAAGTCGTAATTCACAATTTGAATATTAAAAAACAAAAGTTTCATTAACAATAGTCGTAGTTTTCTTCATACTATTGATTCAATACTGAGTATTCTAAGTATACAGCTCTTATACATATAGATTTTTAAATAATCTTAACATAGAACTATTTTTATTCTACAATGTTAAGTCTTCATTGAGTTGAGATTGTATACTAGATAATACTTAGAAATAAGTGGGTGCACGTTTTCAATTCTAATAGAGTTCCTGATTTGATAAAAAAAATGATGCACCTCTTCCTTTGGATGGGTAGGTATATGTACTTAACTGCTAGTTTCGATATCGTTTTATAAGATTTGTCACATTGTTGCTGTGTATCAGGGATCTGTAAGGGAGCAGAAGAAGTATAAAGAATATAGAGGGTATGAGAGAGTAAAAAATGTATGAGGAGTTTAGGGAGTATAAAGGTATAAGGGAGTAAAAGAAGTATGGTAGTGCAAGGAATATAGACAGTATAAGAACTATGAGGATTATAGGGGATATAAGAAGTTTAGAGAATATAATGGGCATAAGGGAGTGTAGGAAAAAAAAGTTCGTTTGTCTGGTAGCAATTAAGTATTATATGATTGATATTGTTAAAATGTATTATCTTCATTCTTGACAAATCAGTTTGAGGCTTCTAGCTGGACTATCATTTTTTTATATAGTTTTTTCTCATCAATTGAAATTGATTGGACACTATTAGTTTGTTAGGAATGAGTGAAGTCTGGTCAGTGGATTTCAAATGATAGAAAATAGGTAGAAATGAACAGTATCATTACGTTGAAGTTTATGGGTATAAATATTAGAATGTGAGTATCTGTTGCGTTCAGATGGAGATTCTCAAACTCTTAAGACTCCAACAGGATGTTGAATTGTTAAAAGTAACTTTACTTGTTTGTTTTCTCTTCATAACACAAATGTTTTACATATACTCTACTTCTCTGTAAAACTGTTCTACTTCTTGTGAATGTTTCATTTAAAACAGCATAAGTAAAATATCTTTATTATTGGGACTTCTATATGATTTTATTCTGTTAGATGATGATAATTATCATGTATTGATATATGTAAAAAATTAAACTTTTTTTTTAAAAAGAATAATAAAGACTCATTGTTATTGCTGAAATTATATTTTGCAAATAAATATCTATTGTCCAATAATATAATCTTAATAACTGTTAGCTTTCTATGTTCATTCGTAGTGGAAGAACGTGACTATATGAAGAATATGATGAACATCAATATGATGAAGATCGTCTAAAAATCGACAGTTTTATCATGATTTGTTAGTTCGATTGATCGCGAGATGATATTGCGATGAAACCATCCAAAAAGACGATTTTTGTTAGAAATCGAGATTAATTCATAACTTTTTATTATTTATAATATATACTCCAATCAAACGCTCTCCGATAGTCGTATTGACAAAGAATTATCATTAGTTTGATATGTGACATATCTCTTGCACATTGTAATGATGATCATGAAGTTTTCCAACCTATATTGAAGAAATGAAATAGAACATTACATGATATTTGCAGAAGACAATGCTTACCAACTACAATACTGTATTAAGAAAAACTTGGCGAGACATATATTAAGCGAAAATTTAGATAGGATTTGAAATATAAATACTACTTATTGTATTGTTAATTTTTTGTTGATCATCTTGAATTTGATGTTGCACCTTTTCTAAAATACATTGACTTTTATCAATTCACAGAAATTAAAAAAAAGTAACAGGAAAAGTACGTTTTACATGTAACATAGTACTATACAGTTTTGAATAGCCTCTGTAGTCAAATGAGATAGTGTTCGTGTACAATAGACAAAAACATCCTATGTGGCATGTTTGTTCGCATTACTGTCGATGTACTGTAGTATCCATAAGAAGCGGCGGTATAACAAAGATTTACAGGAGGTAATGCTTACGCCTTTCGATTCCGGCTATCAACGATTGCAGAGAATTCTTTCTATCTAAATTCGAATTATTTACTAAAAAAAAGTTAAATTAACTGAGAAGAAAACGGTTTCAGAATATATTTTTATAATAAAAGTTATTCCAGTGTTACTGATAACACTAAAATAAAATGTGTCACAACACTCTATTACGAAAATATGTCGTAATATAGATATGCCGTAGCCTATCTGCTAACTAATCATTCACCGTTTTGTTTGACGCATACAGCTACATACCAGCAACTCAATTGAACTTAATGAGCTCGTTTATTTTCGTATGGCTTTTTATCTAGCTTATTTATCGATTATTTGTTAGTCGAGAACATATCGGGAGATCGATTGATAATCGAGAAAGGACTGCCTTAAAGGAGGTATGATCGAGATCAAACGAACACCAAACGACTAAATCTCAAGACCTGACCACCTTGCGCTTTAAAGAATAGGTATCACTAATTAGAATGAAACTGAAAAAATAGTAATTATTCCCGTTTACAGAAAAATGATAAATGCGTTAAAGACTGGATTTGAACCATGTTTTCAAAATGTATCGTAACGAGTACCTCATATCGCAAAGCACGACACATGTGACACATTTTATTTTAGTGTGAACTAAAAACTATCTTATAACCGGGATCAATTTTGGCTCTATCACTATCAGAGGTAACTCAGATGCATCAACATTATTATAGTGCAATGAAAACGACTCATTTCTATCAATTCTAACAGACTTCAAAAATATTCATCCGTTTTGATACAATATACCATGATACAATACTTTCAAAAAAACGCTGCTATAACACTCATTATACCGATCGATATGCAGGCAGTCGTTATCACATGAATTGTCCTCCTTCGTTTTGTATTAGCTGAAATAAATCTTTCGATGTATATTTATTACAGATCTTTAACATATAATAAACTATCTAATTCTAAAAATATTTTTGGAGTCGTTCATTTTGAGAAATGATTACTTTAATATCTAGAAATAAAAAAAATATTAAATAAGATGTGGTACTTAATCCTTTGACTATTCGTGTTGTCATGAAATCATCGATGAATTGTGATTGATTGCTGATTGTTCGGTCGAATTGATGTCGTCAATTTTTCATCAAAACTGACGGTTCCAACGATTTACTCTTTTTTTTGAATAAAGTTTTATTTTTATCATTTGTCTATTAAATTAATATTTTCAGTGTAGAAGAAATCAATTTCAACTGGAAAAAGTCGCTTTTAATATGCCTTCATCTTTAATAAATAATCAAACTCAAAAACTAAGTGACAACAGCCAATGTCGCTAGTATAGGTATTTTCAGTGTGTTCATAATAGTCAGGGAAGGTAATTTTGACTAAATTCTAACATTTTTCTAAGAGTTTAAAAATATTTATGCATTAAGGTATAGAAAAAAATTAAGTAGCAGAACTGCGGTTAACTGGTGATTTATGAGCGGTTGGAACGACATAGAAAATCACGATGGAGTGCCAGTTAGTCAAATATCGCGATGAATCATCCAAACAGAATCGATTTTTATGAGATGAGTAGAAGTTCAAAAACACAGGAGAACAAACAAGCGGATATTTATAGATTGATAGTCCGAAAGTTTCGTCGCCAATTATATAATGAAGACTTTCTTCGTTAGAATATATATGTAGAACTATTTTTATGGAGAAAAGTTCATAAGCAGAGCACATGATCATCAAAATAGTTATTTATATTCTACAAGTTTATCTAATAAGAAAGATATAAGTTCGAAATGATTTTTTACATAAAAATATAATTAATAATTAGTCTTTGGGAAATATTTCTTTATAATAAAAGTTACGATGAAACCTGACACCCTTTATGTTCATAAACTTTAACTATGTTACTTTATATCATTAATATGAGATGCTAAGATATTTTTTTTTTCTAAAGTTTGCATCAGATCGGATCTGATTGTATGGTTGTAACATCTGTACAGTGGATTATTACTAGTTTTATCGTCTATTGGAATACTATTTGTATGAGTTTTTTCAAGAGTATTTATGATAGATGTGTATGAATTGAAAAAATATCTGCAGTTGGTGCTCGATTCTTCAAAAAATTCAATCAATATAAACATCCCTGTAGATCAACTTTTATTTAACAAAAAAAAGGAAAAAAAATAACAATATTCAAAAAAATATAATACAAACAATTAGCGAAATGCTACACACCGACTTGTCAGAATAATTTTACTGTGAACAATCAAAATCATGATCACTATCATCATTCTTATTGTCTTGACTGCCATAGTCTAGAGAATCTATTAAAAATTGACTATATGAATTTTTTTGATTGTTCATTGCTTGTGATACACGAGGTCGACTGATGCTTTTCTCTATATAGAAGAAAGATTAGTAAGAAAAAAAGAAGAATCAATAATCCTTACTTTCTCGAATAATAGAGGAAAACGATGGTGGAGAAATACACATATATTTATCATTTTCAAGGATACATAACGAAAAAGCTAGTCTACATAAATCAAGATGTTTAGCTTCGATGATGTCTTTGGTTATCATTTGATTTTGATATAAATTGAACATATGAATTCGTACTCTATATATAACATAAAAAATAATAGTAAAATCAGTCAAACAAAAAAGAAGATCAATTACTTACTCTTTTAAATGAGATTTGTGTTCTTCTGGATTAATCTGTAAGTAAACACGTTTTGTGATTGAATCAAAATAGTCTGTTGAATTACATTCATCAAAATCCAAACAGCGAAGATTATTATCATGAGATAACTGATCTTGTCTCGCACGTGTTTTTGGTGGTACAATTACTTTAGAATCATGAGATTGGTTATCTAGAGTTACGACTGTAATACAGAGATACATCGTCCGACAACATCTTTCAGGGACCTGAAAATTACATACGATTTTATATGATGAATTCTCATGACAACGATCAAAAACTTACTTTTATTCGGATCGGTGTTCGTTGAGGACCTTCACCAGATAGAAAAGGGATATGTTTTTTTGCTAAATCTTTCATACTTCGATAATGCCAATCTGATTTGGGTTGTGTGATAATTTGTGGTGCTTCATATGGATAATTTATTGCCATTTGTCTATCAATAATATTATGGGATTTAACGCACGAATCTTCAGCTGCTGTTAATGATTCATCAATGGACATTGGTCGTTGAAATGGGAAATGTTTGCTATTTTTTGATAAATCGAGAGGTGAATCTTGTGATTCATATCCAAAGGTCGTTGGATATGACTGATTAAAAATTCCGTTACACCAAGGTTCTAAATAGATGCAAAAAGAAAATTTAATTATAAATGAAAAAAAAAACTGTTTTTGTTTAGAACAGAAGTAAATAAGTTATTTACAATGTAATCAATTGGATATTTTTTAGAAAGAATATTTTGAAATTAGTTTTTGAAAAAATACAACAAAGTATATATACATACCTTGATTATTGACGAATTTTACCATGTTCAAAATTGATAATAAAGGTCTATCCTCAATTGTGAATTTTTAATTAAATCTGAAACATAAATATAAAGGTTATTAGTTTTCAATCGTTGTGATATTATGTTAGATTCTGAAATTATCATGCAAATGACAACAAAATAATACTAACGCAATGAAAAGACTAAACCAAGGATATCATAGATTATATTTACTTAAATTATTGTTGTTTGTCAATGTAGAATTATTATTAATTATCTTATCTGAATTCAAGTAAATTTACGATGAAACTTCTTCACGTGTCAAATCGCTTTTCAATTGAGACAATGTTTATTTGATGAGTACTAGTAAGTTATAGAAGAGTCTAGCATGGTTTCATGTTTCGAACCTTCGTTCTCGAGATGTTGAAATGTTACTGTATTTTTCAACAAAAAAAATTGTGATAATCCCCATCAAGTCACATGGAAAATCGATTTTCGAATTTCGACTTCAAACCTCACATGAACAATGTTCACAATGAGATTAGATCATTGAATAAATTGTTACTTTTCAAGTATCTCCTATTCTGAGATATTGAATATTCGAAATTCTCTCATATGTAAAAGTAAATATTTTTCATATAGTTAGAGAAGGTAAAATTTGCACAATCAATTAATTTTGTTGAGAATTTTGTTTGTACAAAGTTTGAAATTGATATTCAAAAGTCGATTTTGCCATGTGACTTGAGGCGGATCATAACTATTTTTGTTGAAAAATTCAGTAAAATTTCGATATATCAAGAATGAAAGATCGAAAAATGAAATCATTCTAGATTTTTCTATTACTTACTAGTTGTCATTAAATAAATATTGTCTCGATCGACACGTGATTCAATATTTCGAAAGATTCTCTCACTAGCCACAATTATTATTCACGCTTGAAAAATGTTTAATTTTGTATTCTTTTTGTATTTTAACCAATTCTATTGAATTTTCACATATAAATTTTACTCAAACTCCATGAAATAAATCTTATATGTAAATTTTATGAATAATCAGTTAAATATTACATCGTCGCAATTGATTGTTCACATAAGTCGAATTGTAATTAACAGAATTTTGTCTCATTAATTAAAATTGGTATGATTCGAAACGTAATATATAATCATTGGAAACATTTTTTTAATGATTGTTCAAATGCATTTTCTTAACTGTTTTTTTTTTAACGCAAACTGTGGACTTTACACTTGTTTTTAATAGCATAACGAAAAAAAAAAGAACAGAACGGCGAGGGCGGTTAACGAACGAATAATCGTGACGACTTGGAAAGCCATGAGTCACTATTCACGTATAAACATTTTTTTTTCTTTTGTACGTCATCAAAAAAAAAACCTTGACATCATATTTAATCATTCGTCAGTAAAAACAACAAATATCATGTTTTGAATCAAGGATGACAAATATTAGGCAAGGAAATTTTTTGAAAAAAATCCCCATTGATAAGGATTATGAATATATTATAAAAATAGTAACTAATAGAAAATAGAGTCGTGGATAAATGCATTATAGTTATATATATATATATATAAAATCATCAAAGTAAGACTATGTCACTTGAAAGTGATTTATAAAAGTAATATTAAATAAAATTTATTGTTCATCTTGAAATATTCTCAAAAAACAAATAAATGTATACAATTTAGATTGGCATACAATTCTCAATTAAAACATCTTATTTAGTTTTTGATGTAACTTTGAAAAAAAGAATATAATATTTTTTAGGTAGAATTACACAAACAAAAAACATTAATGATAAGAACTGTCGAATTATACTTTCATTGAAAAGACATTGTACTTTTCCTCTGAAATTGTTGCATAATCTATATGTAAGTTGTCTAAGCTCCTTCCCGCAATACAAGACGTCGGGTGTTCTATTATGTTCAAATGTACAAAGGTTTCATGGAGGTCTTTTATTGTGTCTAATTTATTTCCATAATTTTTAATTAAGAAGATTTTTCAGAAAACAAAAATGATTTTGAGGATTTGAAAAGATATTTTCAGAGGACTTTAAAACTTTAGAAATAATGCTAACCTCAGACTTTAAAGATTTTCAGTTCAACATTCTAGAAATTAGACATATTTCGATGTAAATATACTAAGTAAAGTTCCAATTTTGTCAGAAAATAATTAATGAAAGCAAGTCTTCTCTTACGTTCTATGCATCGTTTCTCCAAAGAGATGTTCTATTGCGTGAAGAAATTTAGTTTATAATTTGATCTCACTTTAGATTTTCCAAAGCCTATTAGAAGATGAACAATAATTTTATTTTCACTCTTATTCGTTTCAATATCTTCAAATGGATTTGATATATCTTAGTAAAAAACTTGTTAAATAATATGGTAACATGATGCTAAAATAGACGAAAGAAAGATCAATGAAAAAACAGTATGGTGTACTTGTTAATCATTCTACTTACATTATTCTATTCTGAGACGAAACACTTTTAAAAGCATATATAACTGAAAGAATATATGACATAGAGAAGAAATCTCCAACCTAATGTTTGCACGGAAGAGAAATTGCAAAAGCAAACACATCTTAATATGAAAAAAATGTGGGAATTATAAACTTACATCAGTAGTATAAGTTGGACAAACAAATCTTTAAAAAAATGAAATGAAATAAATAAATTACAACATTGGCCATACGTGCATGAGAAGTAAAGGGTATTTTATTTAACCATCATAAGTTGAAATCTTGGAAATTTCTTTAAAAACATCTGAATCATATTTCATGTCTCAAGTAGTTGCGATAAAGAATTCTCCGAATAATATCAATTATTTTGACATGGACAATGACTACAAGAGGTTAAGTAGTAGATATCGATAACATGCAGACAATGCATGGAAATTATATAAGACATAATAATCATTATGAGTCATGTATTTGTAGATGACGGAATAAGTATTGGAACAGGTGTGTATGACGTCGAAGATATTAACAATGAGGGAAAAAACAAATGACTAATGAACCAATCAGTTGAAATATTCTGACTAATATGGTGACTTCCCCGGCCATAATTATCAAACAAAAGTATTTTTCGTTCTTCCATAGACACAATCGATTAACGCAATAGGTTAGTGTTTAATTTATTTTTGTGTACGTCATTATTTATAGAAAATTGAAAATTTTTACAGATCAGTTTGATTTGAATAAAAAAAATGATCCAACGACAAAGATCGTTATAAAGGTACTGTTATCGAAGAGATTTAGTCAAAAATTTAGATTACAAAGATAAACTTATCAATCTCAAATCAAAGTTTAACGACGAAAGTACTCCAATTGATTGTTCACTTTTGATTCGAGATTATGTACTTCATACAGAGCCTACTGAGCTATGAATATCCTGAAAAGAGTTCGCCCTCTTAACTTATTGCTGCCAAGATAGTTCACTTTTACGATGTATTTTTAGTTAATATCATAGTTCTTCTTCAGAAACATAAAGAAAACTCATTTTCGAATTTCGACTTGAAACTTTCCATAGAGATTCGAATCATAAAGAATAGTTTATTGTGAAATTTTCAGATATATTCTTTGCTCTTATCCTAACATACAGCTATGATACACATCAGCAAATTTTATTCTTATATTAGGAAAGGAACAAATCACAAGTCTTGAAATTATCAAAAGAAACGGTTCTCATTAAGATCTGTCTCTATGCAAAGTTTCAAGTCGAAATTCGAAAACGAATTTTTCTTCTATTGCTGAGGTGAGGCACGAGATATTACTTTAAAAAAAACCGTAAAAATACATTATCTCTAGAGGAATAAGTTAAGGATCTGAACTATTTTCAGACTATTCATAGCTCATTATGATCTACATGATGCACATAGTTCGGACTCAAAAGTAATTAATCAGTTGGGATATTTTCCTCGTTAGTCATGTCAGCATTATAATATGATTTGATCTTATCAATTCAAACATTAACACATAATACATGTATAAAAATACGGATATATTACTAAATCAAATATTTACTTTTTACATGGTTACTTCCTAACTAAATTTCAAATAGACTCTTCCGATTATCCGATGCAAGTGATTTATAGGATGCCATTAATCAAATTGAAAAAATTCAAGATCATTATTGAAAGAAAAAACCAAAAGCTATATCAACATCTTGATTTTGAAACATGATTTTCACTGCTGTGATATATACGTCAATTCCTAGATATATCTCACGTTATGGAAGAATTTATTGTTAAATTCTTTTATTCTTTTCTCGTTTAATAATAAATACTTACACTTACTTGAAAAATGTACATTTAATACCGATAGTTTTCAGTAGAAGAGCAATGTTTTTTACCAAGCTCTTCGCTATATAAAAATGACGTTATTATTTGAGTTGATGAAGATCTTTGGTACACCAGAAAGTATTTATATTTGTATGTCAAATGATTCATGATGAATGTCATTCTCTCTTGTTGTGGTACAATCGAGAAGTTTTTGTTTCGAAATTTTTATTTTGCAACATAGTATAAATTTCAATCAGTTGCGAAATTTAATGTTCTACTCTAAGAAAAAAGTCTTACGTAGAAATTTAGGTACAAGTTGACTTGAAACACATTTATTACAGCGCCCTCATATTGACGCAGTGCTGTCTGTGTAAATTCCACCAATCAGTGCCAAGCGTGTCATTAACCTAAAACATGTACCGATGAATTAACCAGCATTCATTTTTCTTTTCTGTATTGAAATAATTCATTACAACATATAGCTGTTGTTCATAATGTAAGTACAAGATTAATAATAAAAACCTTTTTATATTATTATTCATAACAGTAACTTGTCAATTATCAGATTAAGTCTATTAGGAAATATATATTTAAATGTACATTATTTCGTAAAAACAAATAAAAAAATTTTTTAAAGATTCAATAAAGAGGTACGAGAAAGAAGAAAAAAAGTAAGAAAGTCAATATAAACTTGTTCTTAAAGCATTATTAATACGATTATGAAAGGCAAAATGTATACTGTCAGGATCCATTTGTAACATATTTAATGTACATCGATAGATTTTTTGAATAACCTTTTTGATTGTTTATTAGTAATATTCTTCTGTTTATTGGTATGTGGATTGCCTATAATGAAAAAGAAAATTAGGAAATTAATAATTAATAATTCTAAAATCTTACACTCTTCCATTATATTAGAATAATTCACTGGAGAAACATGTTTATACTTTGTATTTTCAAGTGTGCAAAAACAAAAAGCGAGTTTACATTTTTTAAGATCTTGATTTTGCACCATTTTTCTATCTATTCCACATCTTTGGTATAAATTGATTATGTGAATTCGAATACTATGAAAAACATATTGATCGCACGAATAATAAAAATAAGAACTAAACTAAAACCTTACTCTTTCACTAAAGCTTGACGTTCTGTCTTAGTGATTTTTAAATAGATTCGCTTGTTATCAAGATCGACTTGATCATCTGAATGGCACTCATCAAATTTCAAACATCTCAAATCATTATTGTTTATTAATGATTCATCCTTTGCCTTTGTCTTATCTGGAACAATAACTTTCGAAGGATGAATATGTCCATCGGGATTATGTAGTTCTATAGCAAGATATAATAAATTACCATCGTCAGGAGGAACCTAAATAGAATTGAAATATTTATTTTTTAATTTATTTGACTAATGTCATACTCGTATTTGAAATGGATCACGTTGTTTGGAATTAATACACTGTATAGGAGAACTTTTAGTCTTTGCAAATTCTTTTAAGTTTCGAGGATGAAATGAACTTTTTAATTGTTTAATTAATGTTGGTTGATCGTAGGTTTTTGATACAGAAGTATTTAACAGAATTTTAATATCAAATGGAATTTGATTCATTTGATATTGTAAGTTAATTGGAATATTATTGGAATGAATAGAATTAATTTCGATAGTTTGATTGCTTAGATGACTAGGAAGTGTAGATTGAAGAGTATCAACTTGAATACTTTCTATGAAAAAAACACACAAATTAATAATTGCAAATAATATAGTAAAGAATGTCATTACGATAAGTATTCATAGATTGTTCCGCTATTTGAATAAGATTTGAACAGGACATCACATATTGTTTTAAAATAGTAATCGCTTCTTCGTGAAACAAATGATTATATGGAGTAATATTTGGAACTAAAAGAACATGATGTATGAAAAAGATTTGTCTCTTATAACTTCTAATGGAAGTCTTTCAACTGATCAATCGCTTTTGGGTCGAGATTGTATGCATTATGTAGACCCAAATGAACTATGAATATCCTAAAAAGAGTTCATGTTCTTAGATAATTGCTGCGGATAGACTATACTCTTACAGTATTCTTTTAAAGAAAAGCCGTCGTCTTCCTCAAGAACACCAGAAAAATTCATTTTCGACTTTCACCTCGGAACTTTGTATAGAAATAAGTCTTAATAGAAGTAGTTTATTTTGAATGTTTCAGATCTTGTCGTTGTTCTTATCCTAATATATAACTTCTGTAATAGCGTGTCTTTTACATCGTTCATTAGCGCTCGTCAGGTTAGTCCCAGATTCGAACTAGGTCAGATCCAGGTATGAAATTTTTCTGTGAACGGGATGCAAGTCCGAAAATTCTAGGTCCAATGAGTTCTAGTCGTCTGAGTAATATGTAGAGTGTATTAGTCACCGATTAAAAAAACCGGAAAAAAAGTATCTCTTATCTTCGGAATGTCTATCCGATTCCGATTGAAAAATTTCATTGATAGTATCAAAGTATGGCTTCCCCAGTTCAGGTTCCAAAGGTGTTCAATCAACCGGATCCGGATTCGAAGATTTAGTACCCGACGAGCTCTATGACTCGCATAAAGCAGCAGATTTGGTCCTCTTATTTCAGAGTAGAAGAAAATAAAAAAAACTGAAACTTTCACAATAAACTACCCTTGTTTAAGATCTGTCTCTATGTAACGTTTCAAGTCAAAATTCGAAAATCAGTTTTTGTGATGTTCCTGAGGAATATCGCGGCATTTCTTTAAAGTAAATTTTGTAAAAGTGCGGTATCTTTGTAACAATTAGCTACAGACACGAACTCTTTTCAGTGGATTCATAGTTCATGTGGATCTACATAATGCACATAGTCTTAACTCAAAAGCAAGTAATGAGTTGGAGGACTTCTCTTGTTCAACATCTTACCAAATTGTTGCCAGACTTCATTCATTATATGAGCATCTATTGGAAGTCCATCAATTAATCTAAATACTTGAGATAAAATTCGATCAAGTAAAATGCGAGATTGAATTTTAGCATCTATTTGAACAGAATCAGCTGCAATAATAATAAAAAATAAAAAATAAAAACTATTCGAATTATTTTAATACAGACAAAGATTTATTTGATTTGTCGGATCTAAAGTATTATCAATTGATAAACCTACATAAATCACAAATGATTACTGTTTTATTTTTATGATGAGTTCTTACTTTCAATAGATTCTTCCATACAATGAACAGCTTGTTGCTCTTGTATTAGAAGGATGTCAGTTGATGGTTCTAATCGGAAACTGAAATTTTCAGTTAAAATATTCGAACGAAAATTTACTGATATCATTGAGATGCACCACATATATGCATATATCTACATGAATACCAGCGTCTTCTTTGGAGAAGACGGTCTCATTATTACCATTAACACTTGTGATGTATAAAGGTCCATAAATTGTATGATCTTTATTAAATTGTAAATAAGCCATATTTGCTTTATCATGTTTATCATCGTGAATTATAGAAAATTTTTCATTAATAAAACCAATAATATATAAATCAATATCAAAGAATTTTGCAAAGTATGTGCGTAAGGATTCAAACATCTTTGATGGGCATACTTTTAGTTGTTCAATTACTTCAAAGACATCCTCTTGATGTACAGTTAGGGTTGCATTACTTCCTTGAAATGAATTATTGCTAAGAATGTATCTAACTGCATCAGATAAAGTTTTACATGGAAAAGCATCGGGATAAATAGTTCTAAAGATCGGAAAAAATAATCAAGTTAGTATTTTTGAAAAACATAATTAATAATATTTACCGATGACTTTGCGAAAATGCACGTGCAGAGATCCGGCAATCGATATCCATTATCTGATTAAATGAATCTAATTTACTATCTACCATTATGTTATACCTTAGAATAATTTTTTAAAATAAAAATCTGAAATTGATGGTGTATTTTTTTTTTCAAAGAATGACGTTAAAAAATAAAATGATACTTGATATATTCGTGTCCATCGAATATTTATCTCATTTTGTTTTGAAGTTATACTATTTGTCAATTATATTCCCATAATAAAAACAAACGTGCACTATTCATGCCTACGGAAATGAAAGATATACACATGCTTGGTTTTTTGAAGTTACAAGTGCATACAGTAAAAATGCACATGAAAAGGAAAAAAGAAAATACCAGCTCGTGAGCATCCTACGAAGAAACCTATAGAAAAGAAACTTCAAAAGCTATTGTTTATTTTTGAGAATATCATGTAGTTACCAAATATAATAATACAAAAAAATCTAAGACGATAATATATCTCATTTATACTAACATGACGAATAAAATCAATAAGATGAGTAACGATGTGTTAAGCAGAACTTTTGATAAAACTTAGAAATTTACAATATTACCATATCAATGTCAGTTTATTTTATAACAAGGTAATCATGAAATTCTTTACGTCAAATAAATGACAAAGTAGCAACCTGTGTCTGATATTTATACTATGAAAAGAAATAATAAATACTTACATGGGTGCAATATGAAAGTACACTTGAGTTTTTCCAACTCACAAAATCATTGTATTGGCAGTTTAATCCTCCATTTCTATATCGTATTTCATTTCTATATTGTAATTTTCAATTATTTTCTTTTATAAAGATGTAAAAAAAATAGAATATTTGCTATAGTCACTTCAGTGTATATTCTAAAATTACAAATCCATCAAAAGTATGTCGATAGTGGTACAAAGAAACAGGCGTCATCTACGTCTTTGCCGGTAATGATTGGATAGAAAGTCATTTCAAATACAAATCAGATGGATTAATTATACACAGTGTTTCTAATATTAAGTACGTCAAATGAAAGCAAAATACCTAAAATAGTATTTATGAATTTGAAAATATGTTGTGTTTTGCATTTTACTGGAAAAAAACAAACTACTCTGAAGATACTCTATAAATTAAAAAAAAAACTTCGTTTATTTGTTGTGGCATTATTTGAAGAGTTACTCGTCTTTCTCTTGTTTATATATTCTAATACTAGATGAAACTACAAAGTAGATTTTTTTCTTCTGTTCTAATGAAATTTATCATTGAAAATTCTTTTTTTCTTGTTTTAGATTTCCAAATATTGTTTCTTATACATACTTTCTTCATTAGTTCATCTCGAACGTATTAACATTACAAAATTTCAATCCAATCAACTTTATACTTTTGCTACAAATGTATTAGCTCAAATCCAGATAGTGATTTTAATAGCCAATGAAATTTCCTTTTATTGAGACTTTATAGATGAACTATGATGGCAAGGTTTCTAAAAAACTAGATGTGGTAGTTCTCAAATACGATCTTCTCTTAAAAAGTTAAAAATATAACAAAAATCGAAGAAAGAAAAAACGTTTTTTAGTCAATTTTTTGATAAATTTTGTTTTTTATGATACATTTAAGGTTTTAAAGGAAAATCATAGAAAATGCGTTGATTCCTCATTTTGTTCTCTTGAATATGGCATTGTTAAAAAAAATAGGTTCCGGAATCTGAAAATATCGTGTCCAATTTTTTTAGAAATTTTGCCATCATAGTTCATCTATGAAGTCTTAGTAAAAGAAAACTTCATGGTCTATTAAAATCACTATTTGGATTTGAACTAATGATTTAACATTATAGAAAACAAATCAAAAATACATTGTTGTTAAACTTTTTTCCACCACCTTACGTAGAATAATAAAAATTAAGAAATATTTCTTAAACTTTGTCAGATGAATATATGTACATTTTTTTTTTATTATTTGTATACTATTTTCCCAAGATATGAATAGTAATAATTTTATCTTTGTTTCTATTAATTAGCTCTTTGCTTTAGATTTATATTTGAAATTTTAAATAAAATTTAATAATAAAAAAAAAAAAACATTTGATTTTCTTTAGATAAAATGGAACTTTTAGTCTCATTTCTTAATCGTGATAATTTATCACATTATATCACAACATCTATGTCAAATATTCTTACTTATCAAAATGAATCAAATAAACAAGAAAAAGAAATTGAAGAACTTAGTCAACTTTTAGATGCTCTACCAACTAATATACATTTTGATTCAATTTCAATTGCCAGTCAACTTTTTGATTATTTATTACAAAATTCACCATCCACTCATCAATATCGTTTATTATCTTCATGTTTGAATTTAATGAAAATAGAAGATCGTCTTCAACGTATAAAAACTATTCTTCTATTAATTCTTGATAATGAACAAACAGTTCAATTACGTGAACTTCTATGCAAATTACTTAATACTATTGAACATTCTGCTTCTTTATCATTAAATTTTGATTGGACACAATTAGAATCAGCAATAAATGATCAACATGATCCAAAATTTCTTACTTATATTTGGCGTTTTTTTTCTAAAAATCATCAAACAAATCTAGAACAGATTCTTGTACGTACATTACCAATAATAAAAACTAATGATGAATTATTTCTTTTATTATTAATTGATTTACGATCAACAAAAGTCTTTGTTTCAATGTCATCATTTTGGTATTTAATACAACGTTCATTAGGTGATTCTACATCAAATAATGATCGTATACGTAAATGTGCTTTATATTTATTTCAACAAATATTAACTAATGATGAATATAAACATATTGAAATCAAAGAAGAAAAATTTAATCGATTATTAATTTTAATTGATGAGAAAACAAAACAATTTTGGATTGATTTTATTGTTGTTTATGAAGTACTTGAAGATGGTGTTGTTCATTTAATAAAACCATTGTTAACAAAATTTGATCGATTTTTAAATTTTTCTCTTGAACATGGTATTCTTTTTGTTGTGTGTGTGTATATGTATTCAAATTAAATTTTATTTTATTTTTGTTTTTTGTAGGATTATCTTTAACATGGTTATTTATTTTACTACAACGTTTGTTTGCAAATACAAGTTCTCCACTTGCTCGTTGGACTGTTCGATGGTTTTTTAATTCAATGAAATTACCTGAAAATCAAGCAGAAAATGTAAGTCGAAAAATAAATAAATTTTTTTTTTGAATTAAAAATATGATGAAAGTGAAATCAAACTAATTAAAAATGTCTAATCTCGTTTATCAGGTTTCATGCATTGTCAAAAATGGTTTGTTATAATGAAAAAAAAAGATGTAGATTGACATTTGTCATGATATCTCATCAAGAAAAAAAATTCTTTAGACAAATGTTCCAGCCTTAATGATACTAATGAATCTTTTACTTGTCATAGACTCTAACAAAAAAAAAAATATGTTGAGGAGACAGATGAAGGTCACTGTTGACTACAATGCTTATTAACAATTGTGTTTAGTAGATAGCTTTTAATTTGCTCAACAATTTTTATATAATTTCTTATCTTATGAAACTCCTTATTCATGTAACAGGTGGGCCATTAAAATAATGCTTGGCGGAATATTTTTACTATAATTTTGTTTTTTGTTTTCCGTATGTAGATTTGATTCTTTTTCCAAAAGATGCAGCATTACATTTTCTATAAAATCTGTATCGAACGTTTTTCTATAGAAAATTAAGGAAAAAAACTTAGCTGAAGAAAATTTAACATGTTTAAACAGACAGATTTTCTATGCTATTTTATTTTATTAACTTGATACTATTTCCAAATTTTCTAGAGATGATAGAACAAAATTGAAGATGTTTTTGAGTAGTCTAAAGCGTACTTTTTCTCGTAATGCAGTTCAAAGTTCGTTCGAATAAAAATGAGTATCGGAAAACCTTATTTTTCAAAATAATCACTTTTTTTCCAGTTTGCATCAGCTGAATTCAAGAAAAGACTTTGGATAAAATTTAGCCATTAAATTAATTATTTTTCATAAAAATAAAGAAAATCCGACTTCAAAAGATATATGCTAGGACAATTCGTAGTAGGTCATACTACTCTTGAAGTTTCCTGAAAGAACATTGAAAATGGATGAAGGTATACAAAAGATCCTCGCTCGAGCCGACATCCGCACATTTCATTATGTTTTTCTTCCAGAAGCTCGAAAACTCAAGGTTCAAAAAGTTGAGTTTTCAAAAACGCACAATATTGAGAAAATCGATACAAGTCTTAATGACTGATCTAGCATTTATTTACTTCATACTGACTGATACTATTTTTTTAATAGCTATGAAGCGCTTCTATTCGTTTTTTTCTTATCACTGTCACACATTGGGTATTCTTCGATTAGTTTTTTTCCTTCAATTTCTACAGAACAACATCCGATGAGAATTTAAATTATAGTAAAAATACAAAAAGGATCATTATATACAGCTCGCTCGTTATATATCTTGAAGACATTTCGATGAATTACATCCCTAGACAACAGTCTTCCTTTTCTCTCTCCTCATTCTTTTCGTATAGAATCCCTTTAGTCTCAAATGAATGTTGGTTGCAAGGATGGCTTAAGTACTTAAGTGCAGGGTAATGTATGATTCATGACATTTTGCTTCAATGAAGAATATACGCCTTTCAATAGAATTGAGCAACACGACAAATAAATCTGTTGACAGAATGCTTCACGACTAGGTTATCTCTTTTTTTTTACCTGTTAGCTGTTTTACTTGTTTGGATCACTAAACTCTCCTAGTCGTCAACTCAAAGCTTTTCTGAAAAATGCGATATAGTCGATTATACAAATACAGATAGAATAAAACATTCAGAAAAAAAAGAGATCATCCAGCTATGAAGTATTTTATCACATCGACTTACTTGTGATGTTAGTCGATTGTATTGAATAACGTACATTCAATCAATCAATCATATACTATACTAAAATACAGTATTTAAGTCATTCTTGTAACCAATATTCATTTGAGATCAATGAAATTCGATACGAAAAGAATGGCGAAGGCAACTGAGGAAGACCTTTGCCCATGGATGTCTATAAAATGAGTAATCTGAATAAATTCATTGAAAAAGATCTATGTTGATATTAAAATGGTTTTTGTTAATATGTCTTATTTATTTATCTAGTTCTTTCTTGAAACTGTTCTTGATTGGTCATCAAATAATTTTATTTTTCTCAAGTGAGATTATATACTTATTCATTGTTTTTTTTTTCTTTCTATAAAATTTTATTTATAACCAGAGGCGAAGAAATTAATGATTCACAACCAATGGAACAATGTTTAGAATCTTATCTTGAACGATGGCTTAATCATGTTGAAAATCCAAGTAAGAAAAAAACAGTTTTGAAATTCTAATTCGATTTCTATTTAAATTTCGTTAGATTCATCTTTATTAACATTTCTATCACGTATACAAACGATTAAATGGTCACATATATCACTTGTACGTGTATTATATTCATTACGAACATATGCACTGAAACATCAAAATCAATCTCTATTAAATGATGAACATATTAAAATATTTTCATCATTAATATTAACCCAATTTCATACATATGCACCAGTTCTTCGTCTCTCTGCTTATTCATCTATATTTGATACTGTTATTTATCTTCTTGATTGGTCAATTTCATCAATATCATTAAATCTTTTACGATTTTTTGCTTTATTTGATCGATTAACATTTTTATCAAAACATTTTCAAATGATATTAAATCATTTTTCATTTGATATTCGACAATTAAAAACATTTATTGAAGAATTTCTTTCATCCGAGGATTTAAATACATCTTTAGATACTCGATTATTTTCACTTGATAATACTTTATTAGAATATCGTCAAATAGTATTTTTACTTGATCTTATTGATATACATAATACAGATATATTAAAAATAATATTTAATCCCTTAATTGAAAATATTCGAACAGCATATCAACGTCCATATATGTCAATAAATAATGTTCAAAAATCCATTGAACTTTTTTTGGGTTTAATACAAGAAAATTATTTTCATTCATTAAATTTTGTTAAAGATTGGTTGTCATCAAGTATTCGATTAATTGTACGAGAAGGTTTAAATTTTATTAAAATACATTCCGTAAGAAAGACGTATTATTTCTAATATGTATATATATATGTTTTTAATCATATAGATTAAACAACCTATGGTTTTTGTTAAATCACCAATTGTTTTTTTAATGATTGGTAATCATGGAGATATTAGTCGATTTTTACAAGAATCAATTAATCAAATGGAAACAATGATACAGCAACAGGTAGATATGTATGTTTGTTTTGTCGGATTGAAATCGACTACTAACTAGAGCCCGGCGGGTTCAACATTTTCAAACTCAGACCCGATCGAATCCAGGCCCACAATCAATCCGATGGGCTTTACTATTCAACTGAAAAAATTCATTTCTTTCATGTTATTTATCTTCTACATATTGACATATTGAGAAAACCTCTGTCACTAGAATAACAAAAAAAATTCGTTTTTCTATTCCAATAGTCTTTAAATAAAGCGATAGCTATCAGACTCCAAAAACAAATGCCAGTATGAGATGAGTATGATGTCTATTATTGAAATATTCATAAGATCTAAACTAATTATTTCATAAAAATGAGAAGTCCTCATTCAGTAACAAAAGATTTACTTTATACTTTTTTCTAGTTGATTGAAATATATTTTCTCGCATTTCTGAATTGTACATTAGCGTCTAAGATGACATCTCAGATAGTTTGAAAACTCTTATTTATCAAGTCTTGTGCATTTCTGTGCTTGTAAGCAAATCAAGTCACAGTTACAATATAAAAAAAAGTTGATCGTAATAAAATCACACCTGCAATATCAGAAGTCTAGTAGGCTATTATTCTGCGGTAGAAATAAGGATGTACTCAGATAAACTTTAGACTAACTGAGAGCAATTTGATAAAGATACTTTTATCTCTGTTTACTTAAAAATTTATATTTATGTAAGAATACTTTTATCAATACAGAAATAGTTTTGTAGAATAATATTACAGTATAAATTGAATAAAGAAGAAAAAAGATAATTGGCGATGGTCATTTATTTGCATCATCTGAAAAATAAGCCGTTAAGAAGAAAATTACTTGATTGCAATTTAACTCAATTTGAAAATAAATTTTCAAATGTTTTTTTCAGTCAGGAAATAGTTGGCAATCGCTTTTCATTTTATTTATTTATTCCATGGATTGGCTTTTAACAAATCGATTACCAGATTTTAATAATGAATGGAATACAAAACTTCGTACACTTCCATTATTTTCTCAACTTCTACCATTATTAGATCAGCCCAATAGCAAGTATAAATAAAAATCTATTTTTCTATTTCATGCTTTTTGTTTTTGCTTTTACTGATAAAAGTATTCCACAAGCCGATATATTAATTGCTAAATATTTATTAATCGCTAATAATATATCATCAATGGATTTATGTAATAATATCATAGATGATTTATATAAAGCATCTCCAAGAGAACTACCCTATGTCTTTCGTGCTATCGGTGTATTACTTCGTCAAATACAAGTAAATGAAAGTTTCGTTTCTTTTGTTTATTTAAAATCAATATTCAACTGCGTTTTTTCATAGACAACAAATGAAAATAAATGTAAACTAATCGAAAATTCAACTAATGTACTTAATGAAATTGATCATCGAATGCCAGTCTATTGGCCATGTTTAACAGCGTTTTGTCAAGCAATTTCATCTTCTGTTACAGATGTAAACGTATCTAATCTCTTAACTCAAGTATGTAAATCATATAGAAATTCTTTCAAAGTTTCGAAAACTGATCTATCTCTTTCATAAAGTGGTTTACACAAATGTTTGAACGATGTGGACACATATCAGGAATTATGAATGTCATACTTGAATCAATAATTCCAATATGGTTACAGGAACATCGAATTCAATTATCTCATTTACCAATTTTAATTGAATGTATAATTTTTGGACAAATTTATCAAAAAGATAGAAAGTAAAATAGAAAAAAAAAGAGTCTTATTGACAATTCACTTGTTAGTCACAATTAGCTCATGTGTTGCTAAGGGCAATCTCTTTTCTTTAATCCATCCTTCTTTCTTTTTCAATCACTTTGATAGTATACGCCAACAAAGCGATTGAAAAAGAGAGAAAAAAAAATAGATGAAAGAAAAGAGATTGCCCTTAGCAACACATGAGCTAGTGTGTGGCCAACAAGCAAATTATGAATAGGGCAAATTATTGTTTTTTGGAAGCCGGAACGATAAGTACGGAAATGATGAGTACAGGAAGGATAAGCACACACGAGCAAAATGAAGGTAAGGAGTGTGAGTGTGGTTGGAATGGAAAAGATTACTAGGCGTGCATCCACAGTGTTTGAGACATTTTTGCGTAAGTAAAAAAAAATGCCCTTATTTACTGAACCACATGACACAATTTTTTCGTCAGTAGAGAATTGAAGTAGGAGAATGATACTAGAAAATATCAGAATAGACATTTGGGAAATGTTGTTAGACTACGTGCCAGAAAGCAAACTCAATGAGTTTTGATTTAGATTGTTTTTTAGTTTCCTTTCCATCTCTAATTAAATCACAAGGGTCCATTGGATCATTCTGCATTTGATTGTCAAAAGCAAACATCTGGCTATACATGTAATGTAACAATTTAATGATATAATTCATAATCAAGAAAATAAAAATTCTAATATTAGGTCTTATTGCATGCTTAGAGAAGACTAAGACTCACATTCATATCCTGCCTATCGTTCACGTTCTCATCATTTCCTTGCTTGAGAATCCGTGCTTAAGTTTCTGTGCTCATCATTCATCAATCTGTTATTTTTACTCTTTTAGACAACAATGGCAAGCAGAACAACTTGTGGAACAAGATGAATCATTTCGTTTACTTCTTTCTAATACTCATATAATACCGTAAATTAATTAATTAAATAATTATTTTATTTTCTTTTATTAATTCTTCTAGTGAATATCGTTATGATCGAAATATTCGTGTATTAATACAATTATTTGTTCTACATATTTGGCCATCATTACTTAATGTTCAACAAAATGATATTGTGATGCAAATAATTGAAAAACATCGTCATTTAGCATTAAAAGAACGTCGACCACGTTTTTGTACGAATTCACTTGAACATCGTATTATGTTTCGTTCACTTCAATGTCTTCTTTGTTTAACGTCTGTTATCAAAAATCCGGTAGAAAAAATAAATTTCGACAAAAACAAAATATTCATTATTAAATATATTTAATTTTTTTTTCTAGAGTCTTGTAAAAACAATCTACGATTATATTGTAGAAACATTAATTAGAGAAAATGAACCATCACTTCGTTTACTTTCAGAATGGATTATTGTTCGTTTAATATTAGAAGATCGAGCAACACGTTTAAATAATTTATATGAATATTTACATCATGCTCATCAACATAGAACAGGAACTGTATGTGCTTGGCTTTCAATAGCATCACATATACCAACTCTTTTATTAAATCGAATCGAACAGGTTAAAATCTAAATTTTTATTGTTATTGTTTTTTGTATAAAAATTAATTCTTTAATTAGATTGAATATATAAATAAAATCTTCGAATATATTAGTCCATTATTAATGCATTCAAATTTTCATATTCGAACATTTGCTTGTTCAACAATGGTTAAATTACTTGAATATACTGAACATCATCATCTAGAAAATGAAACACCATATGAAGCATATCGATATTTTAAACGTAGTGAAGAAAAATCTGAGTAATGTTTTGTTCATTTTTTAAAATTTCGTTTATTTTTTGTTCTATTTTATTATGTTTATAGACTTGGTCGATATATAATGAGACTTCAAAGTTTATTTCTTTATCAATTTGATCCAATACGAGATTTTTCACTTGAAACAATTTTTTATACATTACCAAAATTATCTTTAATAGCTGATGATGAATATTTATGGCCGGAATGGTTTATTGAAATAAGTCAACAATTACATTTATCATTTCCAATATCAGTTTATAATGTTTCAACAATTTTACAATCATGTCAAGCTGGAATTTGGAGGTTAACTGGTAAATATAATCTTTGCTGTGAAAGTCTTAATACAAAATATTTATTCATTTTTCGGATCATTTAAAGATAACTGTTTAAAGTCGGAATCAAATATTTTTTACGTTATATAGAATACTATTTTGGTCAATTTTGTATTTTAGTTCAAACTTATCGAATTCACAATGTGAAACAATTTTTAATGGATCCGTTTTGTACAGCAAAGTTTGCTCTACGAAGCGTGCTATTTATGTTGCATGACAGATTTTAAAACTTTTGTATCTTTAAAAGCAGTTTTTGACTAACACCGATATCCATGGGGACTAGTCCTTTAGTGAAAACGCAAAGATGAGATTTTGCTTATTGTAATATCTCATTTTATACATAATTTAGTAATGTTGAGTTGAAAACGTTCCAACAGACAAACGAAAAACTCCTAAAACCGCTATTTTACTTCGCACAGACATAATTTTGTACTTTTTCATAAAATTTACTAATATGTATTCAATTTTTATCTCAGAACTGAAAAGATGAGTGAATATTTTATGCGAAGACTTTCATCCTATAGATTAAATGTTAAGACAATATTTCTTTTTCTTTTTAACTATTTAGCTACTGGAAAAACTGAAATAGGAGGAATGCAAGATGAAGAAGGATCTTCAACGATTCAACATAAAGCAAATCCATATCCAATTGTTGAAGCACTTGATGATACTGAATTAAGAGAAAGTATTAAACGAAGTCAATTGATTGTTGTGGCGTCACTTATTGATAAACAAGCAAATTTAGGAGGCAAGTCTAAACATTGATTATTTGTAAACATATTAAAGAAGTCGAAAAAAGGAAAGAATAAATATGACTATCAGTTCATATATTTATGAGAGATCACGCTATACATACAACAAAGAGATCGTACGATATGTAAAATCAAGTAACCTATTCTCAAGAAGAAAAGTAAGATAATAACTAGATCATATAGAATTACCTGAATAACATTAAGAATTTATATCTTATTCGATATCATCATACTTCAAAAGACTTCGTTTAAAGATTGATACTTGAAATAAAGGTATTTATATCGAGTGAATAAGGAGTGATCTTAATTAATCAAACTAGTAATATATAAAAAAACCAAAATCGTATAGACAGAAGAATAATCAATAAATATTCTAAATTTGCTTAATTCATTAATCTTATTAATAATAGGAAAAAACAAGACAAATCCTATGCCAATATCAGTTTTCATTAACCTTTCGACTGATGAATAATGCTTAACCGTTGTTCTTCATTTTTTCCTTCGCTATCTTGATACATCTTATAATTACTATCTTTTTAATACAATAAAAAGAGAAGGTGTGATAAACTTTCATTCATTGTTTGTAAACACCGTTGATAATCTTCTATTTAACCAGACTATTTTCTCCATCGTGTTTCACTCTATGACTAAATGATGAAAGTATTTATAAATAATTTAGTTTTGCTATTCCGATACTATCTGTAATTAATTTTCAAAATTCTATTTTAAAATCTTTCTTAATATAGGTTTATGTCGAACTGGTGAAATTTTTGGTATAAAAGAACTAGTAATTGGAAGTGTTCGTATATTGGAAGATCAGCAATTTCTTAATTTAAGTATGACTGCTCATAAATGGTTACGTATTAAACAAGTAAGAATATTTTTAGCTTTGTTGATGTTAATTTTATAAAATTATAATTTAGGTACAAGAAAGAGAATTAAAGGATTATTTAATTGATATGCAAACTCAGGGATATACAATTGTTGCTGTTGAACAAACAGTAAATAGTCAAAGTTTATATGAATTTAAATTTCCAGAAAAAACATTACTTTTACTCGGGTATCAAAAAAAAAATACAAGTCTTGGTCTATGTTAATTAATTGTTTTTTGTTTTCTAGAAATGAACGTGAAGGTATTCGAGCTGATCTCTTATCTTTAGTAAATGCAACAGTTGAAATTCCACAAGCTGGTGTTGTACGCTCGTTAAATGTTCACGTTAGTGGTGCTCTCTGCATATCAGAATATACAAGAAAGTATATGAATATGATGAAGTAAAGCAAAAAAAGATATTCTATTTGTTTTTTTATTTTGTTCTGCATTATGAAACAAGTAAATTGTGATGTTTTCACATTTGTTATGTTTTAGATAAATATCAGTCTATTGATTTAGAAAAAAAAACAGTCCTGCTTCTCATCGAAATTATAATAAATTTGTTCAAGTTGTTATTGTCATCTTTCTTGATATGCAATTAACAATACGTTTGAACATCATATAAAATTTATTGGATGAAAAGATTTAATTAAATGAAATCATTGAAAAATTAGGAATAAATCTTTCGTTCATATTCTTTATATTCATCTATGATGGAAAAACTTTTCTTGCTACATTTCATGATCGAATATTTTCCTTTGAAATTTACGATGAAAAAATTGACCATAACATAAGTTATAATTTTTTAGATATGCGTATTTATGATGAATTCAAATCAATGTTTATTACCCTGGGTTTTCTTGGTTACATTTTCTTAGCTAGTGGACTTATTATTAATTTTTTACAATTATGTTCATGTGTTATATGGCCATTTAGTAAAGAACTTTATAGAAAAATTAATTGCTATTTAGCATTGGGTATATGGAGTCGTGAGTATTAGAATTTTGTTTTTTATCAAACACTATTTGAAAAGATGTTTAATGTTCAAGAACTATTATCAAGATTTTTAACAGTCTTCTATATTGAGTTCGTACGAATTCGTATATTTAAAAGAAATGATTATTTTTGAATAATTACACATTATATATTAAAAAAAAATATTGACTATTTCCTATTTAAGATAGTAAAAGGAAAATGCGAAAAATAATGCGGAGATGTTATGTTCATAGTCTATGGGTATTCGATATAAACTTCTTCAGTGAAGTTTATTTCGTTAACTAATAAGAGAACTACATCAATTGTAACTCGCTGTTTGAGTTCATATTAAGCTCACAAGGAAGTCTCAGTAAGAATAAAAAAAGCATAAAAGAGTTGGTGCCCATGGATCTTACTATACTTCAGTTGTATTTCACTCGTACTTCGGAGTACCAAAGTCTTGCTCTTTCCCCTTGAGCTTTGCCGATAGATAGGTCTAATGACCTTGGAAATATGCTTCAAGTTTCAGTCGAAAAGAACGTACATTTGTCGAGATATTGATTTTACAAATACACTCAATTTTTGTAGTAGGTCTGTTACAAGTGATTATTCATTGCAAATTCAATATCTCGACAAATGAACATTCTTTTTGGATGAAACTTTAAGGATATTCTAAGGGTTATTAGATCTATATGTGGGTTGAATTTCATGTCGAATTTCTATTCTTTGATTTTTCAGTAAATATCTAAAAATGGCCCATAACCCGACTCCAGAAGTACATAGGTACGAACCTTTTTTGAGACTTTTTCTAGTCTAACCGAAACCTCCTTATGGGCTCAATATGAGTTGAAATGCCGAATTATAGTTAAGGTAGTTCCCCCGTAAATATATCTGATATAGCTATATGCTATTCAGCTAGTGTGAGGTCGAATAGGATCAATAAATTTCCATCAGTTAAAGAACTTGAAACTCACTTAAAAATAAATTAAATAAAGATAACTATTTATATTGTTGAATTTCAACGTAATCATTGACGTTTTCTTTTGCGAATGAGACTTTTATGATCGAAGGAATATTTTCGATATTATAAATTATTGGGATAACGTACAGTTTCTTACTATCACATGTTACTCTTTCGAATTAATTAAATGATTTTTGAAATTTTTAATAGACTTTCTTCGAATTTCTTTCGTTTTGAAAATTTCATTATTTTTTTGCATTTGTTTCACAGAATTTACTTTTGTTGCTCAATGGTGGTCAAAAAGCAATTGTGTTCTGTATATAAATCCTGAAGAACTTGAAAAAGTTCGTAAAGAACATGCTATTGTTATGTAAGTTCATTCGTCTTGAATTACTTGCATCAAAGATTTAACAAAACAAAAAAAAATTTAGAATGAACCATAAATATGATGTTGATTGGCTTGCTGGTTGGATAATTTGTCAACGTTTAGGTATAATAAAGGTAATTTCAAATCAAACTCTCATATTTTTATTGAAATTTACATTAATTAGGGATCAAAAATAGTTGGCAAACAATCACTTAAATTAGTTCCTATCGTTGGTTGGTGTTGGATATTTGCTGAATCCATATTTTTACGACGTGTATGGGAAAGTGATCGTGAAACATTGGTTAAAGATCTACGAAAAGTACTTGCTAATTATCCAAAAAATCATTTTTTTAATGTAAAACAAAAATTATTATTTTTTTTTTATATTTTAAATTAGAAATTTGATTGTTTTTCATTAATATTTAGCTTTTACTCTTCTGTGAAGGTACACGATTTACTGAAAAGAAAAGATTAACAAGTATGAAAATTGCACAAGAAAAAGGATTACCAGAACTTAAACATCATATTCTACCTCGTACAAAAGGTTTTACTTTATTATTACAAGGAGCAGAAAATCGAGGTAAGTTTTTCATATGATATTGAATCTTCTCAAATATCCGAACAGCTAATTTCTAATATATACCCATTATAAAAAAATTTGATTCATTTTATCAATGGTACTGCTAGTGATCTCTAACAGTAAAAAATACAAGTATGAAATTATCCATCTAATCTGAATTTAAGTAATTTTCAATGAAATACAGTGCTAACTCATATTGCACATTTGTTCGCACTATCACCGGTCAGACAACTACTAACCGTATACTGTCGACTTTTTGCTACTACTGGTAAATACTATTGGTATGGCACACGTTATACAGAACGACCTACCGACGGTTTTCGTTTGGTTTGAATCGCTTGGGAATATTTAGATTAACTAAAACACATTTGTTCGCGCTTGTATATACTTGTTTAATTTCGTGGTACAATAGCGCATGCAACTAAAATGAAATCATATGAGTTTTATTTTGTTGCACTCTTAAATACATAACAATAATATTGTCACACAACTAACATATAAATCTTTGAAATATGATGTATTAACAATAATCATATTTATAAGTCTTGAAGTTGAACTAAAATAATTTATTTAAAAAAATTAAAATTCTATCGAAAATTTGTATTTTGTTTTATTTTTCTTATTTAGTTGCAGCTGTATACGATTTAACAATTGGTTTTAAACAAACTGGAGCTGAACCAACACTTCTTAGTGTACTAAAAGGACGTTCATGTCAAGCAGAAATATTTATCAAGTAAATTTCTTTGTTTTTTTTTGTTTGATTTTTAACAATCATTTAAACATATTTATATAATTTCTATTAGACGTATTCCAACTTCGGAAATTCCACAAGATACAGAAGGATGTAGTAATTGGGTTCATCAATTATATCAAGAAAAAGATAAAATATATGATTATTTTCTTAAGCATGGTACATTTGAAGGAAATGGTTTACCTCGAATAGAAATTCAACGTAATTATTATGATCTCTTAATTGAACTTGCTTGGATGTTAATTATTGGTGTACCATCATTAATATATTTATTTAAATTTCTTTGGACAAGTTCATTATTGGCACAATTGGCTTTTGTTGCTTTGATTTTTATTGGTAAATAATGAATATTTCGAAATAAAAAGAATAATAGAGTTTTCTTGATATTTCTTCTTTAGCAACAATTGGTGTTCGAGCAATGATAGCAGTTACAGAAACTGAACGCGGTTCACATTATGGTGAAACACAGAAAGAAAAATAAATTCACGACAAACAAAATATTTTATTTTGTTCTTATTCATTATAATTGATATGTGATATTTCATGCAAAACAAATGGTAGCTGGCTACCGCAAAACAATGACGATCGGTCTTTTACTTTTTCTTTCTTTTTGAGACTTTATTGTGAATGCTTTTTTTTGAATTTAATTACTCGAGCTTAATTACAAGAACATCTATTTCTCATTAGTTTTATAAATATATTAGACTCATGTGTGGTGTCTTTTTTATCCGTCCGTGCAATTTTAGGTGTTACTCGTCTTCTTCTAGAGAAAAATCAAAATCATTGTCATAGGCATATACTTCACGCTAATGGTCTTTTTCGATTAAAATTCAGCTTTTTATTTTCTTGTTATTTGATGTGCACTTGTTTTACCTCATTTGTTATCAGTTTGCAATAGAGTGAGATTACTCGTCCTGTGTTTGCATTGAAATATGATCGGCGACTGTTTATTCGAGAATTATGCGATGAGAAAAAGACTTCAATTTTCTCTCTTGTGAAATGCATATTAGCTTCTTAGATAAAGAAATAATTAGAATCACGATATTGTCTACATAATCAATTAGATTTGATTTACAGTTTTTAATGGAAAAATATGATTAAAGTTAGTAGTTCTGTTTTGGAAAGTTCCTGTTCCTGTGAAAATGACAGGAATAAAATTTGGCATAAGTCGACAATAATAAATGATTGTTACATTACTTTTCCATCGTGATGTTTCATTCAACATTGATGTCAACAGTACTATATCTCTTTTTATTTGTTTTCCCTATGATCGATATATAATCATGTGCGAATAAAGAAGTGCATACGACTAGAGCTATAAAGCAACCAACTCAGCATCAATATTCAACTGCTTCTGCTCTATTCCTAGCTAGGGAGTCTCTTCAGGTGTCAAATCAATTTTCTACCGAGAGAATGTTCATTTGATGAGTACTAGTGAGTTATAGAAAAGTCTAGAATAATTTGGTTTTTCGTGCCTTCGTTCTTGAGATATCGAAATTTTACTAGATTTTTCAACAAGAACCTGTGATCTTCCATAGATCACCTGAAAACTCGACTTTCAAGTTTCGACTTCAAACTTTGCACGAAGGAAGTTCTCAATGGGATTAGTTCATTGGGGAGATTTTAGCTTTTCTATTATGTAAATATATGAACAAAATTTGCTTTTACAGATGAAAGAACTTTGAATATTCAAGATCTCAGAATAGGAGATGCTAACTGGAAAAGTTATAACTTGTCCAATAAACTGATCTCATTGAAAGATTTATTCATATAATGTTTGAAGCCAAAATTTGAAAGTCAATTTTTTACATGATCCGTGGAGATCACAGCTTTCTGTTGAAAAATCCAGTAAAATTTCGACATTTCAAGAACACAAAGGTCCGGAAAACGAAACCATTCTAGACTTTTCCATAATTCACTAGTACTCATCAAATAAACATCATCTTGGTCGAAAAACGATTCGTCATCTCGGGAAGTTCTCTCATAAGATTTAGAAACTTCTTAAAGAGCTCAAATAGTTCTTTGAATCAATCTGAATTCTATAGACATGATTTTGATTTTAATGAATAATTAGTTCTAGAAATTCTTCCATTGGTGAATTAAATGACAAAATATATGTATTTCGCACAAAAATGTTCCCAAAGATTTTCTCTGCGTCATAATGCTACTCCTACGGTTTGATATTACATGAACTTTTTTTTAGTTGTAATAGAAAGAAGCTCGAGATTATTGTAAAACATGACCCTATACCAACATTACGTTTTCTTTTAGTTTTAAAAATTTTGAACGTTTACAAAGTATTTAGAATTCGTTAATACGATATCTGAATCATTTCTTTGAACTTGTTAGTTTTTTTTGTGCCAATACAGTACAAATGAAACTGTTATACTGTAAATTTAAAAGACTGGCCATGTGCGAGCCAAAGTATTACTTTGACTGCCAAATAAGCAGATGCAAAAATATGAACTGCTTAAAGTAAATCTACACCGAGATATTTGATTTCTAAGATATTCAGTTTAAATGTAGAAATATGATCATGAGACAACTATTTACATTTATTTTTTTTTATCTAGAATCATCAGATGTTTCAGGAAGTGACTTTCCAAAATTTAGCTGAAATTTATCAGTTACAACACGACCGTATTAGATTCAATTTCTTCTGAAAGTTTAGTAATATCGAGATGAAAAATACGTGGGTTTTGTGTCTGAAAAACGACATGTATATAAGATATTTCATAATTATGTATATTGATGCAGGACTTTATGATTGGCTAATATTTTCTTTGAGCTAGGCGCAAAAACTATCCTTGTTATTATCATTTGATTGAAGTCAAAAATATCTGCAATTTAAATACAGTTGAAAGTACTGATATCTTCTAAGTCTTGATAAATAACAGTCGACTTTTTTTCCATCTTGATTCTATTAAACTATCAGAAGAAACTGAATCTAATACAGTCCTAATATGATTCATAAATTTCAGTTGAATTCTGGAACTAAAATCATAAAAAACCTTAGGGGTGAGTAGCTTTGTGCATGATCGTGTTACTTTACCAAAACTAAATACTTTAGAAATCGAATACTTTAGTTCAGACAGGTCACGAGCAACTCGTATTTGAATTCGTTAATTTAGCAGTGAGAATGATAATTTGACCGATATTGGTCAATCCTTTTCACTTAAAATATAACAGGTTTCATTGTTAGTAAAGTTTAAGCATTGGTCAACGTGATGCATTTTTTATCCTTTGTGTTTTTTATAGGTATTTTCTAATTTAGATGATGATATTTGATCGTCGTTTCCCATAAGTAGAACTCAGTGGGAATAGGAAAAGCTTAGAAGGATTCATCTCCATAGACCTTCATTCTAGAGCTATGACCTTTTTACTTGGATTCCAGTTCATGGCAATGTATTCATAGGAAAATCAAAAAGAAGGAATTTTCATCTGAAATTTGGTTCATAATTGTGTCATATGATCTTTAGAACATGCTGAAAATTTCAGCTAAAATAAATGGTTCCTTCTCAGGATATTGAATGTTCAAAAGACGATCATATGTCATTAAGGGCGTCATAAAACGACTTCTCTTCAGTATTTAATATCTCGAGAGAGAACCATTCATTTTGGCTGAAACTTTCAGCATGTTCTAAAGATCATATGACCTAACTATGAGCAAAAATTTCAGACGAAAATTTCTTCTTTTTGACTTTCCTATGAATACCTTGCCATAAGCCGAAAACTTAGTAAAACGGTCATAGCTCCAGCACGAAGATCTATTGGAACGAATCCTTCTAAACTTTTTCTAGTCTCACTGAGTCCTGCTTATGGGCAAAATATCACTTCGATCAGCGATTGACAGTTGGGTTTGTTTATATATAGAAGATAACTAGAAACTGTAAGATCATTTAGATATTTAGAATTTGTGTGAAAGAATAAATTATCCTAGGCATCGACAGTCGAACGTTGTAGAGAAGATTCAATGCTCATATACTAAATTGAGATGGCTGCAGAGAAATAGAATGGTTACGACTGACGTATTGAGATTATGTTTCCTTGTCTCCAGCTTTTCCTCCTTAGCATAGATATTCTTCCTCTTACCCTTACCACTCACCTCTTACCAAAAGCTTCTAGAGCCTAAGATCAGGGTATGTTGAGTATGGGTGTGAATGTTACCGAAGAGAAGACTCGCATTCACACGCATACTCCACAATCACGATTACACCTATAGCTATATATGCACCTACAATCGTACTCATACCCATCAAATTTTCAGAGCCTCGAATATCCGAAGGCCTAGCAACACGGGAATCCTGATATCCGGATTTAACACGATCGACTACTTATTGTTCAGTAGATTTCGGCACAAAAGCGATTTATCATTTAGATATGATCACCCGTAAGTAATGTCGTTAACGTTTCACAATTTCTCGTTAACGAAGAGCCTCCAGAAACGTCAAAGCCATTTAGGGATTCTCATGAGGTTTTGCTAGGAAAAAGTTTGAGATATTGACACAAAACAACAAGCATCGTGTTTTCTATGGGAAGTAATCTTTACATGAAGATTTAGACAACTTCTGTAGCAGATCTATATTTCAACCACGGTTACCAAATCAATATTTTCGAAACTAGGAGACCTCCGTAGAAAAAACCAGAAGTTCGTCAGAAGCTTTTTTTCGAAAACCAGAAAGCACTCAATGGCGTTTTCTAGAAGAAAGCTGGCATTTTTGCTTACAGAAGCGCTTGTTACTTTCTAATAATAAAGCATTTATAGTAAAATTTGCTGACCAGCGATATTAAAAAAACAAAAAGAAATATGATCACACATATTTTACATTATTAATCTTTTCATATTCGTTTATGAAAGTACACAAACAAAGTAAAAAAATATGGCTTACTGATAAATTGGCATGAACCAAAAGAAAATAAACATATGGAAACAATAGGTTATTTACTGTACCACGCATGGCACATTTGCAACACGAGAGTATTTTTCTAATGACCCGATTTGTTTCGACAAATCTGGTTTATGGAAGACATATTCATAAAGTTCTGTGCAATTAAAGTAAGTGTCAGAGCTGCCAACCTTGCTTGGTATCCTGGTAGGCGCCTGCTAGGTTACCAGGCCAGACTGAATTTTACGATTTTAGCCTGGCCTGATCCCTCCATAAAATATTTGACCTGATTACCAGACCAGATCAGACCAGACCAAAGTTGCAGGCCTGGGTGTGGTGTAATACTAATTTTTCTAGAATTCAAGTCGGAAGATGAGATGATGCTACAAGTTAATATATTTGTTATCGAAATTTATTCGACAAATTCATTCTTTTTCAGCAACTATTGCTGAAACAGAACGTTAGTTTAGTATGACAGGATCTACAATAACGAACAGAAGAGCCTGGTTTAGATTACAAACAATTAGATAGTATGCTTTACATTCCTGCTGTTGCAAAATTGGATAATCGAGTGTCAAGTTTTTCTCTGTTTCTA